CCACGAGTGTTCCTGTCGCTCAAGGCATCCCAGAACCAGTCTTGTTTGGAAGATGGAATTGTTTCTACTTGGTGAGAGAATTGTTCTTATGGTTGGATTCCCTGCTTTGGTTTGGATGTCTTACTGTATCGTTCGGGGCCCTCTGCGTGACGATTCCACCGGAGTTACCAGTATGGACAAGACGACCTCGCGGTCATTCTAGATGTACCCGGCCATGGCTTTGGTGGCGGATCCCCCGACATATCGATTTGATATTTTTCGTTGATATAACCATAGCTAGTGTTTGGGACTGGATGTCTCAAACCCTATGCTAGCAGTCAATCAAGCTCATGTTTGCATCATCAGAGGGACCACAATGTCTCCGAGAATGACAAGTGATTCTTCATTATCGCGAACTAAGACCACTTCATCGGATCCGCCCCGTTGTGGTCTCAACCTCGGACCACGCCATGCGGCGATCTATTGCTTTCTCTACAAGTCGTGTCAGGTCGTTTCTTTATACCGAGTCCAGCATGAGCTGGGCGGTCGTTGCCTTAGCATGCACGTCTGGACGTGAGACATTAACAATGTAGCACAATGAATCGAAATGAGACGTACACTGACTGTCTAGCGAACACCTCGCCCCGACAACGATTGCATTGTCTTCTCTTCACGACGCTGTTTCTGGGGATAAAGGTCGGCTATCATCCCTCAATGCTTCGCGGTGCGGATGCTGCGCAGGAGCAGTTCCATTGCGTTCGCTCCCATGTCACTGCACATCCCTGCTGACCATACTGTCGCTTCGCGGCGTCTCTGTCTCGAGCATGAATATGGCTGTTCTTCGCCCTAGACTTTGATCAATCCTCCATAAGTACCTCCCCACTCGTGACAACGCGGCAAGACCAGATCAGATCAGATTTATTCACCAAGCTTCAGTGACCCAAAAGCCCGTCCATCACGGCAACCCTAGGTCAGATTCACCCGCGAGCTTCGCAGACCCCATACCCGTTCGTCACCACTGAGCTCACACAAGATCCATACTGAGCTTCAAGGGTTCAGTCACCCGAAGAATCGCTCGCTACCGACGTCACCGACGTCACGAACGTGAAGGACTCGTCCGTCGCAGGCCCAAACGTCAGGCAAAGTCAAGCAGCCCAGACCGGTGCGACCCGGCCCTTGGTCCCCCTCCTGTCTGCCTATCGTGGTCCAACTCACACGATGCCAGACGAGAGCATGGTGGAGAAGCAGGACGACGAGGTCAACGTGGACGAGAGATTTGAGGCCCTGGTGCGGCAGGGTTACAAGTGCATGTCTTGCCAGGAGTGCGTGTCCGAACCACCGTGCGACGCATCAGTGATATATTCCAGGAATGGGAACGTCTGTGCTTGGTGCTCAAAGGACCTCTGTACTCTGCAAGGCGAAACCGTGCATGTCAACAAATGTGGACTGGACGAGCGACGCCAGTCGAGAGCTGATGCACCTCCCCCAGCACACGACCGAAAGTTCTCGGTAGACATGGCGGCCGGGACGATCAATTCTTCGATGTGGAGAGCTGGGGGACTGGATATCTGAGGGCCACGAGCCAAAAGCTGCAGCAGGGTAGGAAGGCACCACGGGCAGCAACCGTAACAGCAACAGCCGCAGATCGACGCTGAAGCCAAAGACACAAAGGTGACACAAGGGTTACGACTGTGTTTGACAAACACTAGCACCAGCGGCTCGTTTGGCACCGGAGAAAAATTCTAGTCAGGGTTGTTTCCGGTTTGAAGGAAGGCTTCAAATGTGTACACAGTACACTGGTATCCAGAGGCGTGTCCTTAGGCGTATTCATAGGCGAGCCTCTTGGGTGAGGCGGGCGCGACTGCAGAATAGGCCCAGTCAGACTCAAAACAGCGTGTGTCCCACTCGCCCTTCGCTTTCTTCAATGATCGTCCGATTCAAGTCGTCCTTTTGTCCTCGGCGCGCGCCGCATACTACTCTCATTGACGTCCAGTGTATCTCCCGTTCAACTTGTCTTCGTATTTTCAGTCTACGTTCCGCTCAAGGCATCCGTGTGTGGGGCGTAGGTGTCTTTCATTTGTCCATTTGTCCATTTATCTTTTTGATTGGCGTGTCTCGGAGGTTCCAAGATGCTGAGCAGCATGACTGGGGCGTGATATTGTGCATGGTGGATGGTCGTTGGCGAAATGGCATCTACTGTAGGTCGAGCAGTTCTGCAGTGGTACTTGGTGCTCGGTACTTGGGACTTGGTACGTGCTGGAATTTGCCGAGTCTTGCTTGCCTCACATAGGACAGCCATCGCCGGTCAAGCTTGCCACGACAGCCGCCAGAGCTTGCTAAGAAGCCTTGGGCGTTCGAGCCACTCGATCTACCCGTATCCGTTGTCAATGGCATCTCGTACCTCCGCCCTTCCTCTAACGACCATCATCTTAGTCGGCCAACAGAGTCGCAGCTGCTTCCGCGTGCCGCAAGATCCGGCATGCAAGATCGATCCGCTTCTCCAGCCAACCCGGCACCCCGCGGGCCTGCATGGGCAGCTGTCGGTTGTGATTCTGCCGGCAGGAGCCCAAGGGAACCCCTGTACTGCCTGCACGAGTACCACGTCTACCGAAGCCTCGCAGTGGCCAGATCCAGATCGCGATCCAGATGCGGACGCGGGGAGGAAAAGATTTTTGCCTGACAAGAGGATGTCTTGCGTATTTCGGCATTGTAACAAGCGGATATCGCCTCCGACAAATCACCGTCGTACATCGTCGATATACCGTGGCGTCGACCTGATCACACAGTCCACGTCCGAATTTGCGCATAAATCTATCCATGCACGATCCGCACGTAGTTGTCTGGCTGCCCTTGACTTCGACAACGAGCTGGAGCAAGATTGTGGGCGGCGCGCCTAGACATAGTCCTGCCACGAGCATAGAGATTGTTGCAGCGACATTGTTCGTGAAGTCCGTGGTGAACCACACACAATGAGCGCGCCACTCAACAGCATTTCGGTCTCTCTTCTACCCCTCTGGCGCAACCATGTTTCTGGCCTCTGCCTCCTCGTGTAGGGGTGTACCATCTGCGCGGATGTGTCCTCGCACTGGTGAAAATCGTGCCTTTCGCAGACACCTACTTGTCTTTTACGCCAGCAACGGAGGGATATGCCAGGTTATCCGGCCCTTGATAACCTCGAAAGGCACGAATGAGCATGTCTGTGATCTTTGATTTGAGGGAGCCTCCTACTGTGCGATGGTTCACGGAGCCAAGGTCGATGGCCTGATGAGGCCTTGCGGGCGAGGCTGGGAACTTGAAAGGGTGACCAGGCGGTTGTCGGTTTCTGCGGCGACTGCGCCTCTCGAAGGTATGTCAGTCGACTGATTATTGTGATGGGACCTACTGTACCTGGCGCGCTGGGATCTAGTCTGAGGTCCGACGGGTTCCCGGTTCTTCAAGCCCGGCTCAGTTGGCGCCCGGCCTGAGACGACAAGGAAGCCTCCCCACGGTTGCATCTGCTCAATACCTAGGTATCCTTCGACGAGTCCAGCAAAACGCTTGCAAAGAAAGGAAGCGGGAAAAAAGGGAAGTTTGTGCACGGTCTCACGGCTGTTCCTTCCTCCCGGAAGCGTTCTCCGGAAGAGAGTTCCATATATTCGTATGGACAATGCCTAACCTGATTGGAATCCAGCCTGCGGTCTTCCTCCGCCGGGCGACTACCCTGTTCCCAAAGTCGCGCTTGCTGTCCTAATTGCTGCCTTGGACTTACACAGTACACCGGCTCCCAGCGAGAAGGAGCATTTACCTCGATCTCACGTGTCAGGAGATAGCACCGTCCACTCTGACTTCATGCGGGTCTCTCCGACCAAGCTGCCATCCCAGGATCATCTTGTTCGCTTGCCTGTGCCGCCACCATGGCCTTTGGAACTTCTTCATTGCTCATGTTGATGGCGCGGACGGTCACTTATATCTCATGTTGGCTGATTGATCTTGTCTGCTCTGACTAGCCGGCGTCAGATCCTGCCAACCCTACAGGAACGGCACTTCGAGTCGAGCAAACGGCTGACACAGCGATTTCATATCTAACCTCAGTGGCCTGCGCCACAAGGCAGCTCTCGGGGTCGATATGCCTTTCTCCTGGGCTACCCTCTCTCTCACTCTTCCAAAGTGTTGCACGAGGCTTCTAATGCTAATGTATACATGACAGTAACCTGATCTGGATGAGCTCTTATCACATTCCCCCCACTCACGCGTTCCGTCGAAGCGAATCTCCGCGTTTGGATATCTGCCAGCGTATAAATAGTTCCCTCCTGCTTGGATATTGTCCAAAGTCGTGGTAAACGAGACCATCAAGATGGAAATTAGACTGGAATATGCTCATGCAAATTCACATGCACGTCAACGCAGCCATGGCCCGTCATTTCTGCCTTGTATATCCCTATCCATCCCACAAGTCGACGATTACATTTGGCAGAGTGAGGATCATCGCGTGAACGTGGAGCAAGTACTTTAGAAGTTGGTACTTACTCAGACTAAGGCTACAGGTTACAGGAATAACAGATCTCACGCAAGTCGTCGACCGCCAGAAAGATCTCTTGAGCAGTCAGAAACTCCGAAGACTGAAAGTCTGGCCGGCTCCCGCGGAGCAGTTGCACAAGGTTTCGACGCATCATCATCATCTTCTTCTTCTTCACAGCCTTATCCCGTGTTTACCCTGAAGGAGTATTGCTGGTAGGCTTCATCGTTGGCATTCGGATATGGCCCTCTTTTCGTCCCAGACAGGGAGGCCGCAGATGACTTGCAATCATATGAGGCTACCAACTTCTGACGGGGCCGAATAGCAGACTCATAGAGCTCATCGCCCTACTCCACTGTCTGCGAAGTATACCTCGGATGATCAGTATTTCCGATTTCCGGAACGAGTGGGTCTTGACATATGTGGTCGTCATGACTCGTGCCCACGGAGGTATTTGATGTGGAACGATGAGGATATTTGGATCTTACCAATTTGCTATACGCAATCGTTGGTATTCGTGCAAAGGATGTCGACTCAAACCAGGGAAAATGTTGTGGGAGCATTGATTTTCTACGCCTACATTGCTGGGGCGCTCGCACTGACGGGGTTGATATGTCGGGACTTGATGATCATGTACAACCGCTTTTCGGGGCAGAAAAGGAAAGACGTACAGGTCTTGAGGAAGGACTGCGGAAGGGCAAAACGCGGCACACAGTCTCGGGTTTCGATTCTTGCAGCTCTTTCGGCCCTCAGCTTCGCCGTTCTATCTTATCACATGTTGAACTTCCTCATCCAGTCATATCAGTCGTGGGCTCCCTCAGAATCGTTAAGCGATGTCTCTTTTCCGAAGATCTGGAAATGGTCGGTCCACTCACGGCTCTTTCGAGATTTTGCTGAAGCAATCATAAACGATCCTCATCGATTCTGGTGGACGAACTTGGCTTTGACCTATTCTCTCGGATGGAACGTATACATGAGCATCGAAGGTAAATTGACCACGTGGCTTTGAAACATCAAGATTTGCTCACAATTTGTTGCACCGCTCTAGGCTTCCGTAAAAGTATCCCACATCTTTGGGCATATTTCTTGTTGGATCAGATCCTGCCCGTGTCCTTCACGCAAAATATGTTCCTCCTCGCCGTCCACCTTCAGGATGATAAGAAATATGCGGAAATAAGAATGCTGGACCCTCCTTCAGCAGCGATGCAAGTGCTGCTGGTATGTGCATATTCTGCTGTCCTCGCAACTGCTCCTATCAGTATTGGGTCCGGCTGGTTCATCTGGGTGCTCCTAGCCACGAGGGCGCTCCTTTCTGCCCCCTTTCTCGTTCTCCGACCACGAATCGCACGTCCGGGAGCTAGTTTCCAGCACCAGGATGTCTTCTCCTCGGCGAACTATAGCTTGCGACACGAGGCGAGGTGGGCGCTGGCTCTGATTTCCGGGTATATGGCGGTGCAGCTCGCACAGGGGTTTCTTGCCTTACCGTCCTCGATCACCGCCGTTTTATCCGTCTTGCACGACAATCCAGCAGTAAGCACACTGGGATATGACCTCCTCATCGGTACATTCAGCCTCAGCGTCTCCAGGCTCAGTGCTTACCAATAAGTCCATCCATGCAGATGGGCGCCGCTGATGAAAGTGGGATAATCGAGGAACCAAGGATTAAACCCGTTGGCTTGCGGCAGTTCAGAGGAAGCCCGAAGCCGTTACCTCGACGCGCCGCACTCGATGGCTAGCCCATTCTTTTTTGAAAATCACGGGCCGGCACTCCACGGGCCAGCCGCTATTGATCTCGGCTCCCACAAGGTCCCCATGGCAAATAGTATCCGTGTCCCAATATGTTGATGATCTGGCAGAATTTGCCTCTACGGGAATATTGCTTGCCCGGAACAGAATCTCCATGTCACAGCAGTAGAATTTTGCGGCTGTATCTTCCAGCGAGTCGACCTTCGTAATTGAGATGGATGTGCACAGGCACGCCTTGACTGGGAAGCCAGGCAGAAGAGGGTCCGATTAAGTGGTACGCGACCCGGCGCTACTGCATTGGTGGCGCAGTCGTCCACAACAACACACGGTTAAATACGTCCCGAGCGGAGACAGAGTTCCATTTGATATTTGCATCGAGTGGCACACAGAGTCGTGGACACTGGGTCCTGAGCTAGACGACAGTAAGGGATGACCGTCCTCAAAGGCTTCGATAAGCACCCTCCAGAGCGCGCGAGTGTCCTGATGTGCCGCGCTGTGCCATGTGGTTTTGCAACCCCTCCCTACCCGGACTCAACCCAGATACGAGTATGGCATTCTGCAAATCCCATCCTCCGATACATGGCTTTCTCTCTCTGTCGCCGCATCATGGAGTCAGTACCCGGCCAGCCGGCTGGCTGGCAGATGGAAACGCCATCGACGAAGTATGAGGATGTCCTTCCTAGAGGCTGACCTGTGGCTTTCGATACGGTGAACTCGCCCGCGTACTGATACTGATACCGAGAGGCACACCCGTGCGTGTCACAGTACCTAGGTACCTTACGTGGCTCTGCTGATCAAGGAAATACGACGTACGAGGTACTGTACCGCGTAATTTGCATGACCGGCGCGAGCACTCCGTACGATTCTTTCGATCCGACAGCAGCCTGAACGTCCATGGAAACTCCGCGGAGAGTCCGATGTCCTTCAAATGCTAGGTAGACGAGGTACATATAGCGCGCTGTGCTGTCTGCGCCATGTTTGTGCTCTCGGTGCTCTGTTGTGCTATGCAAATGGCGGCGCGTGGCAGATTCGCAATTCCCGTCTTGCCGCTTGCAGTCTATATTTCCCATCCCCACCCGAAGCGCGTAAGACTAATTACTTGGTCTTACTGAGGTGCTCTGTGGGGGGTTCCTGTACTCTGTACGAGTAGATGCCGTGTCTCCTGTGTACTTGGTCAGATATGGAGGACGTATACTCTGCACCCATGCGAGAACCCCCACCGACATGATTGGGTCGTGTCCGCGCAGGAATGAAACTTCGGCTGCCATGCAGTATCACCATTGCGATTGTGCCGGGTACCTGAACTGCATACTGTGCGAGTGGCGGTAGTTCTATAGATACGAGGTACGGAGGTACACACAGCCCACATGTTTATGTAATGTGCACACAGCGCTGTCTACTTCGTACCGTGGACCGTGTACTGAACCACATGCTCGCACGCGAGTACTCGCACTCGCACTCGCACTCAACTCGAAGCCGATCAAACAATGCCAAAGAATTCCGCCGAACCGAACTACAAACCCCAACGCGCAGATCCGGCGAAGGATCACCGTCGCCATCGCCTTGAAGAACGAGGCGTTGACGCACCCAAAACCAGGGAACCAGAGAACCAGGGAACCCAGCACACGCAAGGATCGACACGCTACATCATTTCATGCACGCACATGCACACATGGTAAGAGCTACTCGTAGACTAGTGGTCTATCGATGGCGTCCCACGGCTTCCAAGGCTGCTGTTGCCGGCCGAGATTTTTTTTCTGCGGTGGCGTGCGCCTGCGCGGGCAGACGTTCAGATGTCCAGACGGTCCGGTTGACTGCATGCATGCAGGCTGGCTGGCTTGCTGGTGGCCCATCCGACGAGCGTCGTTGCTCACCAAGAAGCTCGCCTTGTGAATGACGCATGTAATTGTGCGTATCGGGCACCGTAAGAGCCGGAAACATCAAGGTGCGTCAAATCAGAGGTATGTAGAGCATGCATGCATGCACGCCCGGGTTCTTTTTCCGTGCTCGGCTTGGGCACGTCGAATAGGTAGGTAGTCTCAAGAACCAAAAAGTTATAGCCTGCCTAGGACTTTAGGTAGCCTTCGTCACGGTACTGGTGCATGCACGGATTCTTATTCCGTGCTCAGCTTGGGCGTCGAATAAGTCCCCAGAACCAAAAGTTATACTGTAGCCTAGGACTTTAGGTAGCCTTCGTTTACGGTCACTCTAGGCTCCAAGCACGACAGACCTGCTGTGATATCGGCAACATTGACCGAGCGATGGTCAGAAAACAAGCTGCTTTTTCCATATTCCCGGCCAATGCTGTCCTATCCGAGCTTTTGCGCTTCTTGCGGTTAACTGCACAATCCTGTTCAACCCCTTGACAGACACTCCTTCCATATCGCGTGGGCAGCGCTTGGTGGCATGGAATATCGCCCGGATGCAATTTCCAGGTCCTGCCCGTGTTGGTTGCTCGACCTCTGCCTCCCTGGCGCTTCCTGTAATGCTTGCCAGGAGCGTCATCGTCGATGCTTCCGAGGTCGACGTCAGATGGGTATCACAATGGTGATCACAGAGATTGAACAGATATTGTCGCTCCTTCGTGAAGCATTCATTGCGTGTTGTCGTCCCCTCCGGCCAAGCTTGAATTTGTTCCCTGGTTTCTTGCACATTGGCCTCATGCGTAGGTGTGTAGATGGAAGGGCTAGCTTCATATCCTTGTCTTGACCGGAGACCCCAAGGAACACCCGAGACCCATCGCTGTTCTGTCTGTTCTCGCCAAGGCGTCATCTGAGGACGTTGCGCCTGCAGCTTTCTCAATTGCTACAGACACGCCTCCGCAGAGTCATCTTCTCCAGAGAGAGGAGCTTGCAGCACCGACTGTGTTGCGACGCTCCCGACGACTTGTAGCCATAGCTATTCATACACCCTATCGAATGAGATTGCGTCTGAGGCTCGTCGAATCCCCCTGACGCACGGCTCACGACATCTGTCTATCCAAGCTGGGTTTCGTGCTTGAGCCGGAATGAATATTTGCTGAACTTGTGTCACTGTCGACCTCGGATCCGAAACTATTCTCCTTGGGACCCAAGTCGCCAGGCATGACTTGCAACTGAGATGGTGAAGGCAGTTCAGGACCGCCGTCGATAACGAAGTCGATCTTTTCGAAAGCCTGCTGGATCGCCATGTTGGCTCGACACTCGTTTCGCACGTGGGCGGCTAGTTGCGACAGGTCGACGCTTGAGCGAATGACACGGATGAGATCTTCGGTTGCACTGAACCCGCCAGCTCTGATAGTAGCGATGATTCCTCCCAGCAGCTGCTGGTGTTTTTCAAGGTCAAGTTGCTTATCGGCGAGCTCTTGGACGTTCCGTTGGTTGGCGATTTTACGACGCTGGTCGGAAGTGGCATCGTAGACACAAAGACTCCTCCTCGTCGCACACGCCTCGCAGGGGTTGCCCCCCGTACACTGCATTTCGTTAGCGATTTGAGAGACAAATGAACATGGTGCTTGCCTTTGTTTTTCGCTGCTTGCAGGCACCACAGGCCGTGGAGATCTTGCGAGGACGTTGGGAGGAGGATGGCTCATACAGGCCATCGGCCTGACTCGGCCGCGGGGCTAAAGGTTGCGACATGAAAAGAGGGAGGACTTGAGATCGAAGTCATCTGGTATGCCGCAAGTTCGTCGAGTGTTCGCGAGTCGTGACCAGAACCAACGAATTGGACGCTGCATGCTACGAGTCCGACGCCATCTCAGAACGGAGCCGGGACTCTTTATGGTTGTAGCAGTCAACTTCAATGGCGAAATAATTGCTGATTGTAGTCTACACGCTAGAAAACCGTGGCACCAAATAAGGCAGACGTGGCCGGACCTGTTATCCGACCAAATGCAACGGCTGTTGGAGGCACTGACCAGTATTTATAGCTAGGCGCTCCCCTGGGGGACACTGTAACCATATCACATCAATGACAGGAACGGGTCGCGGTGAAATAACTTTGAAAACTCAACCCACCGCAGATCGTCGTGTTGGGGGACCGCTCCCGCTCGCTCACCCACTGCGGTGCCACTGACTGCGTGGGAATAGCGACAGACAGACGAAAAAGCCCGAGAAGAAGTGCTTGACAGACGGTGGAATGGCAGTTCACGACGCAGGTGAACAGCATTCACCACGCTTTTCGCCTCTAGGAGCAGGCGCGTGGGCCTGTTGTCTCTGGGAAGCCAATGAGTGATGGTTACGGTTAACCTGCGGCCCATGAGGCTGGGTGCTGCCCGGTAATTTCCTCCGGGCTCGGCGTGGCTTGAGAGCCTCGAAAGCAAATTTCAGGCCTTGCACGAAAACCATCCTCAAGTGAACCTGGCTTCGAGAACAGCAAGCGGATGCATCTCCGAGTGTTCGTATCAGTAATGCTACACAACAGTCAAAGGTCCCGGTTTTCTCATATGGTGTGTGGATGTCGGCAAGGACCTTGTGCGAGACGAACCATCATGCGGCGAAACTGAGCAACATGGTTTCAATTTCTTATCACTGATGGATCGCCGCTGGAGGACAGTGCTGGGCTGAGGCTGAAGCAGGGCTAACTGAGGGAGAACAATGTGACGAGTGAATCTTTCCAGGAGCACACCAACTAAGCGTCGAGTTGGTCGCGTTGCCCGTTGCAATCCTTCACTTGAGTAAGCTCGCAAGCCTCCTTATCTTCACGTGTTACTGGGGTCTTATCAACACGTGAGTGAATATTTCCGGCCCTTCACTCACGTGACATTTAACATTGTCAGTCTGTGACTGGGAAGGTTATCCGAAGGGTAGACAGTGCCAAGGGCTGTAATGGGCCATACCCCTATCGTACAATACCGTATTGTTTACATAGGCCTCCGTAACTATATACCTAGCTGGGTCTCTGCCCAGACCCCTCTGGAATTCATCATGTCCTTCAACTGAGTCACAAGTCGGGAACCAGCAGATCACACGGAACGACAGTTGAACTTTTCTGCCAATATTGGCATACAGGACTTGACATTCTCGCAGATGTGAATGATCTACCGCTTCTAAATGCCGGCCTCAGGGCATTGCTCTCTTCCTGCAGCCAAAACAGAGGCTCAGGCCACTAGAAAGAGACTGAAAATCTACGCAACCTTTGGAGTCGACGTTCATGGTTGGTACCTCGCCCCATTGACTGTCTCCAAGCCAGTCCTGAATTCCTTCCGGGTAGTAAAGCCACACGTATTTCATTCCTGCAGATCCATATTGACGAAGCTCTGGTACCGGCACCCTACCGCGGAGTTCGCTCGGCGGCCCTTCAGCACTCGCATAATTCCTGTGCAAACCTCTTTCTTCTCTAATGTATGTGTCGCAGGACTGATCATCCTGTTCGGGGGTGCTTTCATCAGTCTTGACCGCCGTGCCCAAAACTTTCGTCCGCTGGCATCCATTCAATGCAAAACAGTGAAAGGTCTCGGAGTGTCACCTGGAGGCATTTGGGCTTCTTTGTCTCCCTTAAGGTACAGCAAGACTGCCATTTCTCTCTCGCCAATCTACGTACGAAGGCTTTTGCGGTTGAAGCTCTCCTTCGGACTCCCTTCACAATCGTAGTTGACTACACGGCGACCATCCACGAGGAGACCAGAGTAGAATCGTTGGGAATGCTCGGATGGCTAGATCAAATTCTTCACGTTTGGCCTCTCCGACAAAGCGACATACCATATCATGTCATCCACGGGTCGCATGAGCCATTCATCTTGGATGAGCTCGTTGGATGTTGCTCTGACTTCCGGGTCCCAGGTCAGTATTTTCCATATAAACTTCAGAAATATCCCCTTTTCCTCTCCGGGAGAAATGGTGGTGATTAAGTCCTCGAAGCTGGTTTCAGGAATGGGCGGCTCAGATGCCCAGGTGCCTAGGTTAATCAATGGTCAGGCGCAGCATAGCACAAGGATCCAGCCTAGTGCTTCTCCTGGAGAGTTCAACGCGGGTATTACCCTAGTCGTTAAAGTATGTCTGAAAAGGTGCGCTGCGCTTGATGAGTTCCAGTGATGGAGGGCCAAGATAACCAATATACTGAGACAAGGCGACCGGGAGAACATATTGGTCGTGGACATGATCGATTTGATCGAAGAGGTTTCTCCCTTCGAGAAGCTCGAGTGTCTCGTAGATTGGTTAGCAAGGGTTCGCGCATCCAGAAACTTTTGATTCTACTGACCATGACACCCACAGACTAAATATCAACAGGGAAGCTCCAAAGGAAGCTTCAGAAGCACCTCCGGAGCTTGGTATAAACCGGTCATCCACCAGTCATTGTTCATGGGCTCTGATAGCCGCATTTGTCCAGAATCAGTAAGTACCGGAATGCCGGAGAGCGTAGGGTTAGTATCTCGTGTCTTGTAACCAGGAGCGCCATTATTCATGACTGGGAGACTAGGATCTTGTAACTCTTGCTCTCCAGTTTCTGAGAAGATCTCGTCCTCAGCTGCCATTAAGACATTTTGTGGGGAAATATTTGCCGTAGAGTGGGGGAATAACCTTCGCTGAGCTCCAGCGATGTCAAATTACCAGTATGTATGACACCACAAGTAGCATGTAGCCAGTCCAAAGAAAACCATAACCGATGTACCACGAATCTTACCAAAAGCTATTGAAAGACTGCATTCGCGAATATCTCTTGTAATATGCGAAGACTGTTACCTTCGGGTTTTATCACAATACAGTAATGATGACCGTGTGGTCCCTTAATCTCGAAGATATCGCGGACAAGCCGTGTAAAGTCCAAGCCCGGGTGATCAGCTTCTTCGGCGAATACCTTCAAGCGGCGCAGCATATTAACTTCATTGATGACTGGCGCCATTTTTGTTTCGTCCTGAATGCAGACTTTCAGTGAGACATATTGCTCCAACCTACCTAAGGTCAGTTCTTGTCTGTAACCCTTGTGCGGACTGTTGACTTCTCACCTCGGGCAAGCCAAACAGTGGAGTATGCTTCATAGCCCAGCTTTGTGACGATTCGATATGTTGTTTGAAGATGTCGCCAATTTTGACTGGATAATAACGCTTCTGAGGAAAGAATGGGAGTGCTTGCTCCTCAATTAGCTGACTGCTTCTACAAGATGCCATAGTGTGCTGTCGTCGCCGTGAAATTTTTGGCAGACAGCCAGTGTAGGCGGACAGAAGTTGGGCGTCGTGCAACTATATTCATGCCACGCATTGTGCAATGGAGACGGTGAAGATGATTTCTTCTCCTTGATGCAGAAGCCCTGCATCGGACTCATTCTGGTGCATTCCAAGATCTGATAAAGAGTTGGGCATTGTGTGAATGGCATCGACATGTGTTGGGCCTGTATTAAGTACAGTAGCTTCCAGCCTCTTCGCTTCAGCCACCACGCCGCTTACGCCACTCCAGCTTTCGTCATCCGGGAAAACTGCGGATGTCGCTAGTGCAGAGGCTCGGAGGAGTTGCCCTTTGTAGAAAGTCGCTGCAATGATGCCCCACCGACTTAGGAAAAAAGTGTACAATCGGGACTGTGCTAGAAATTCTTTCTGCGCTCGCACATTGTCTACAGCATCTGTACATTACGCGTCGGCGTCCTGCGCAATGGACCAACAAAAGTTCCTGGAGCAGCTCTCCATTGTCCTGGACCCAAAGAAGGGCAATGTCAAGGCTGCCACGGCTGTGCTGCAGAATGAATTCTACAAGCAACCCGAGTCTCTCCTCTCCCTCATGCACCTTGCCATTTCGCATGAAAGCGCAGACCTAAGACAACTCGCCGCTACTCAAGCGAAGCCGTTGGTGTCAAAACACTGGGATAAGATTGCCAACAACCAGCGCCAACAGGCAAGATCACAACTCTTCCAAGCCACTCTCGCCGAGTCTTCATCTCTCGTCCGACATTCCCAGTCCCGTCTGATCAGCAGCATTGCGAAGATAGATCTCGACGATGGAGAATGGCCTGAATTGCCAGGCATGCTACAGCAAGCTGCCACCAGTTCCACAGCCGCCGAACGCGCAGTTGGCGTGTATGTGCTTTACAGCATCTTAGAGACAATGGGCGATGGCTTCAGTTCAAAATTCAAAGACCTTTTCGCACTTTTCAGCAACACCATCAAAGACCCTGAGAGTCTTGAAGTCAGAGTGAACACCCTGCTCGCAGTCTCGAAGATGGCGTTGGTCCTCGACACCGAAGAGGATCAAGCCTCAGTCAAGACCTTCCAAAACATCTTCCCATCGATGGTCGCGGTCCTGAAGGACTCAATCGACTCGGGCAAAGAGGACCAGATCATGCTCGCATTCGAAGTCTTCAACACCCTGCTGACCGCGGACTTCGAACTCATGACAAAACATTTCAAAGATCTGGTCATGTTCATGAACGAGATTGCAACCAACACCAACCTCTCCGAAGATACAAGATCCCAGGCTATCAGTTTCTTGATGCAATGTGTCATCTACAGACGACTCCGCGTCCAGGGTCTAAAGCTAGGCGAACATTTAGTCAAGAGCATGTTGCAGATAGTCACCGAGATCGACGATGACTCTGCAGATGACGACGATATCACTCCCGCTCGTTCAGCCCTGGGCTTGATTGATACCATGGCTCAAAGTCTCCCGTCGAACCAAGTCGTCGTTCCGCTGCTGATTGCTTTACCCCAATATTCCAAGAGTCCGAATCCCAAGCAACGACAGGCTGGTATCCTAGCTCTTGGTATGGTTGTTGAAGGAGCGCCCGATTTTCTCAGCACCCAGTTGTCCTCGGTCTTGCCAATCCTGTTCAAGCTTCTGGAAGATTCAGAGGTTGTTGTAAGACAAGCCGCCTTGCAGACGACGGCCAGACTTGCCGATGATATGCCCGATGACATTGGTAAGGAACACGAGAAGTTGATGCCGCTCCTTATTCAGAATTTAACGTTGGCTATGAGCGCATACAAGGGCGAGGAGGAAGGCCCCAATGTCGATATCATGAAATCTGCGACAAGCGCAGTCGACGCAGTCATTGACGGAATGGATGCAGAAAATGCCGCTGCGTACTTGGACCAACTGGCGAAGCTGCTACAACGCTTGTTCAAGCATCCCGACTACAAGATTAAGGCCCTCGCCGCCGGCGCCTTAGGCTCATTGGCCTCCACGGTCGAAGCACCATTCCTCCCATACCTTAACGACTCGATGCATGCCATGCAAGAGTACATCACAAAGAAGGAAAGTGAAGAAGAACTCAATCTTCGTGCCAGCTGCACCGATGCTATGGGTGAGATGGCTGTCGCTGTTGGGCCGGCCGAATTCAAAGATTTCGTCCAGCCGCTCATGCAAACCAGCGCAGAGGCCTTGGAACTTGACCACTCCAGACTCAAAGAGAGCACATATATTCTATGGGGCTCTCTGGCGAAAGTGTACGAAGAAGATTTTGCCCCATTCCTGGATGGCGTCGTGAAAGGTCTATTTGACTGCATCGACCAGGAAGAAGCCGATCTAGAAGTTGAGCTTGGTGACAGCGCGAAGGACCTACTCGGCAAAGAGGTGACCATTGCCGGGAAGAAGGTCAAGGTTGCTGCAGCTGACTCTGACGACGAAGACGGCGACATCGAGGATGTCGAGATCGATGACGACGATGACAGCGATTGGGGCGACCTGGCAACCGTCACTCCAATTGCCCTTGAGAAGGAGATCGCCATTGAGGTTATTGGTGATGTCGTCTCCAACACCAAAAAGGCGTATCTTCCGTACTTTGAGAAGACAATCGAGAAGCTCCTACCTGTTGCCGAACATAGCTACGAGAACGTGCGCAAGGCGACCATCAGCACCTTACACCGTGCGTACGCTGCGCTCTACGACATCTCTGAAGAGTCGGGCCAGCTGCAGAAATGGAAGCCTGGTCTGCCTCTTGCGGTCGAACCAACACAGGAGTTGAAGAAGCTTGGAGAGGTTCTGATGGCTGCGACGTTGAACGTCTGGCCCGAGGAAGACGACACGTAAGTTGACCCTTTGTCTCTGTTCAGCGCAAAATTCTCGTCTTATGATGAAATCTCTTGGTTAACCCAGCTCACTCCGACACCCAATCGGTGCATGAGGTGAAAGCGATCTTCAACCCTCTGATATATGTCGCAATCCTGCACTCAGTTTAGCATGTCCTCAAATGAAAACCAAGCTGACTCCAAGACGCAGTGCCACCGTGACAGAAATTTCAAGAGCCCTCTCAGAAAACCTCAAGATGACTGGACCCTCACTCCTCTCCTACCCTGACGTCCTCACCAAGATTGTCCAGACAGTCACCGACCTCATCACCAAGAAACACGCCTGTCAAATCGATATGGCGGAAGGAGAAGTAGATGATGAAGACGTGGAATCCACAGAAATGGAATGGCTTGTGGTTGACAGTGCCATGGACGTCATCTCAGGCCTCGCAGCTGCTCTGGGCCCTACCTTTGGCGAACTTTGGAAGATCTTTGAAAAGCAAATCCTGCGATACGCAAGCAGTGGCGAAGCCTTGGGTCGTGCGTCGGCCTGTGGCGTCCTCGCGGAGATCATCACGGGGATGGACAGCGCAGTCACACCCTACACCACCCAAATGATGAACGTCCTTCTCAAGCGACTTGGCGACGAAGATCCCCAGACAAAATCCAACGCCGCATATGCCGTCGGCCGGCTTGTCGAGAAGTCTCAAGACGACGCCACCATCGTCAAGGCATACCCTCAGATCCTCTCGAGACTTGAATCAATCCTGCGCATCACCGAATGCCATTGTCAGGACAACGGCGCAGGTTGTTTATCGCGGCTGATCCTCAAGCACAAGGACAAAGTGCCCATTCCGCAGGTCCTACCCGCGCTTGTCAACAGCGGCATCTTGCCTTTGACGGAAGACTATCAAGAGAACGAGCCCCTGTGGACGATGATTGTGCAACTCTACCGCGACCGAGACCAGACCATCCAGTCACTGACCCCTAAACTGGCGCCCATCATGATGAGTGTGCTTGGCGCGCCGGAGGAGCAGTTGACCGACGAGGTCCGCGAGCAGGTGCAAGCCCTGGTCGAGCACTTGAGAGGTATGCACTAGTTGATATGGACCACGCGACCTATTGGCATTGAACATGAGCATAGCGGGAAGGGAACACAAGGGACATGATACCAACATGGGTTGTGACAGCCAGGGACACAACGACACCACTTGCATGATGGGACGAATGGTAAGATAGGAATGGATGAGACGACATGACGACGGGTCGGGTCTTTGGATGCGGTCACGACCTAATGAACATTCGGAATGTCCCCAGCGTTGGCGAATCATACCATGGTCTGATCAACTGGCTGGGAAGGACACGATAGATGGGAAGACGATGATGATGTTGCCTGCGATGCCAAGCACCCGAGATACCACACTTTAGATAGTTCGTTCGTTCCGCCTTCGCTGAGCAGAACCGCAAATGCCATTGCAGTCGCAATCGCAGTTTCCGAACGAAGAAGCCAGGCTGCAGTCGATTTCTCTTTGCACAAGGGCTGGACGCAACAGCATTCTACTGTAACAAACCATCGTGAATGCCGGAACTTCCGCATCCAGTTCAGCTCAGCTCCGATCTGTTGCTGCCCGTTCCCCTTCCCTTCTGCTGTTGCCCCTTTGCCCCTCCATCGATAGAGCGGCTCACAATTCGGGCGCACCTTCGACGGTCCACTGCCCCTCCATCAGGCTGGACTTGCATGAATGCCCCGGGCCCGACTTCTGATACGAATACTCTACGGAGTAATTACCAAGCACTCAGAGTTCAGATACGAGCCACCGGTCTGTCCCCACTGATGGACGTGTCGATGCGAGCTACTGTATGGATTAACTAGTGACACATCGAGAGAGGGGAGAGAGTGGCGGACACCCGCATGTGCGTGTTTGCTTTGCTGGCTACGCACTACGCACTACGCACGCTGTCCGGTCCCGTAGTGCAGTCTACCAAAGACAGCGCGTCGAATATGTACAGGCAAGCCCTTTTCCTTGTCGTTTCCGTTGCCCGACTTGTGTGCCCTGCTTGCTTGGCCGGCTGGCTGGCTGGTGTACGACGTGAGGACGGAACACCGCACCACAGTCTGTGGTGGGAGGATTCCACTCCTCCTTCACAATCAGAGTTGGGCAACGAGGTGTATGTAGAATAGTCTTGAGGTTGCCAGTGCTACGTATCCAGGGGGCAGAAAAGTCGACAAGCTTTGGACCACATTTGCGAATCTTCCGTTCGAAATGACGGATGACTATTCCAATGCTACAGTAACCTGTGTCATCACTCATTCTGCCTGGCCATTGTGGCCTGATATTTGAGTATCTGCAACGCTTTCGCTCTGCAAGCCCGACTTCCTTCTTTCTTCGTCCCGTCATGTCTTGGACATATCTCGAAATCTCATCAGTAGATGCGCCAAAAACGCCGGCACGTAGGCTTCTACCCGTGCAACGCCGACCATCCCTCTCCATAACATAGAACTCCCATGCTCATCTTGTGGGTATCGTTCGCGTCGTGGGTCGCATGTAGAGCAAAATTCCACCGCTTGTGCATTCATACTCGTGCCATTCCTCGCTCAAGTCGTGTCATAACCTTATCGACGTCTCTCGCCTCCACTCTCAACCTCCATCGTGTAGAACACGGTCCCAGAAAAGTATCCACCACCCAGCTTCCGAAGTGAAATCGAGGCAATGTAGACATCGACCTCGAATCTTCACTTCGGGATACATGTCAATGAACAGCAGGACTCGTGTGACTGGTCAAATAGCATCAACTGCTTCCCTGTCTGGGGGCGCTTTAACTCCGGCTGACTGCTGATCGCGCGAACCCCGGCCTCCGAGACCTCCTGCATCCCCAAGTGACTTTGGCGCAATCCAAGTGAAGCCAGACCAGGTCGAAGCCGCCACCTGAAAACATGCTGATGCCTCTGTCATGACACTCAAGGTCATAACATGTCCATTGTGTTGTGTAGAAAGTATGGCACATAATTCGTAAGAGTTGGGTCTTTCTCCAAATATTTTTCAGGGCTGACAGGTTTTTCAAGTTTTTATGTTTCGTTACTTTCAATCTTGCGTTTGTCCCATCAGAAGTCACAAACCTGGCAAATAAAGGGAATTCCCCGTCAGAAAGCCAAAACATGCGCCGTTCCATTTGGACCGTGTTTCAACTCTAGCCAAGGCATTCAAAAAGCCTGCGGAGCAATAGGAAGTAGACGGATATCCATTCATAGAATGCCATGTCTGTGCTTGTTCATGTTATCACCACCTTGCAAGACTTGTGGTCAGGCATCGTTCGGTCGTGTAACAGCCAATTCGATGTCGACATCTGTTAATCTCAGACAATTGGCCGTGTGTCCCAAAGAGACAACCGTCCGTCAAAGGACGAGCGCATTGGTGATAGGTATAAATTAGTCCCTTGGTCCTTGCATCTTGTCTGGGGCAAACAGGATTCCGGCCTCATTGTAGTCATGCTGGAACGAACCCATGCTTGTGTCCGGGTTCTCTTCAGTTGTGGCTAAATTATTGGCTTGCGTCGATGGCCATGGGTTAGTGCTTCAACATCAAAGGTCAGACGTTTATACCCGTCATGGTGACTTTTCAGCTTTGTACTTGTCCAGCATCAGCACATTGTGGATTGAGTTGATGGTCGTTAAGGTCTGCAGCCAACCCCCTCGTGTCGTGATACCGTGTTGTGCCGTGTGCAGTAATGATGAGCTAGCTGGACCCGGTCTTGCGAAGGCTAATACAAGGGGCTGCATCATGGAACACGAATTTGAAGGCTAGGCGATGCCGCAGGATTCCGCAATGAGAGTGGCACGACTCGCTTGACGCCCGTGAGTTGTCCGTTCGGCTTTGCGCTAAGCCTGGAAAGGCAGTAGTTTAGTCGATGTCCAATGAGGGTGGGGAGCCTGATGCAAATGCCTTGTCGCGCCTGGAGCCTGTGGCAGTTGGGGCTGCATAGGCTGCAGTAAAGGGGGGTCGCAGTGCGAGGGAGCAAGTTCTTATTGCCGCATAAGAACTCTGTCCACCTCCAGAGTGTGACCGAACTTCTTCCCTTCTCACAAAATATCGATATGCTGCTTGACTCAAGCCCATTTTGTCGCTTGTCGGCTTCGAATCTTTCTCTTTCGGCACTTCACCTCTCATCTTGTTGCGAATTCGCCAGTATTTCTCCCTCTTCTGATGCAACTTAGCAGCTCCGTGGTCCTCGGACGCGAAGTGCCTCTCAAATCGGTTGTCATAGGGGCTCGTCGATTTCTCCCAGACTTGTTCAGTTGAGTTGATGACAAGCCTCCTTCGTTTCAGCTGTCCACAAGGCTCCTCAGCCTGATAGCGCTTTTGGTTGTTTTGGTTGCCTACTCGCACACCGGTTGCCTTTTTCCTCACCGGTTCGCACACACCTGGACTTGGCCGAAGATGACTCCATCGGAAGAACGTTCACCCGAACACCGGGAGAGGATTCTGCCTGGATCCGCGATCAAGGCAGGAGTCCATGATGATGTCGTCGCCCCTCTGTCCGCTGCTTCGGACTGCACTCGGGTCATATGAGGTGAGTATCGGATAGTCGATTATGGAAGAACTCCTGGTACCCAACGCCCAACACGCCGGAAAGAACATGAAGACCATGACATCCCAATCACCTGCGACGATGGTCGCACTGGAGACTGCTGTATAGCAATGACAAACTGGCAACGATCAGTCGTAGAAGGATTGGAACGACCGCCATTGATACTCACAAGAACATATAGGGAAATCCTGCACTCCTCACCCTCCGTCCGTACCTCATTGTCGACGGTCTTCGAAAGCCTTCTGGCAGTCCTCAATGAGGATAGCGAGCCTGGCTAGTCGCTGTCCTCTGGCCTCTCTTAGAGGCTGGCCTGGGAAGTAAGGTCCTTCCAGGCGAGGTTCCTGGCGCCAGCGAGCCAGGACCTCGCTTTCGCCTCCGATGAGAGAGGGCATGGAAGATGATGAGGAGGCAGAGGAGGACATTCCAGAGTCCGACCCGGACGAAGCGACCGAGGAGGTAGTCCACGCCTGCTGGCTGGATTGTGTGCTCTGTGTTGAGGAGCTGCGTCAATATGTCAGCAATTATGAAGGAAGAATTGGCGCAGAGACCACAGGCTGTGTGAGATAGGAGGTCAAGGCATTTACAAGTACAGGTTGCTCCTATCACAGGTGCAGAGAAGCATGTGCTCTCGCTCTGCTTCTGATTGACGGTCGAGCTCGCACGATCGAGAAGGAAGTGCCGCTATGGACATTGCCCAAATGGCAGATGGACCGGGACGAATAAGGCGGGCAGGTGAGTGTTTATTTAGCCGTGAACATGAATCCTTTTCTTACCTCATCTTGCTTCTTCACAACTATTTTATTTTGCGTGAATCTCGGTTGCTGTGCTATTGGTGTTGAGTGTTCGGGTGGACGTCGCAGGCCGCAGGTGACAGTGAAAGTGATTCGCGATCGGAGTAGCACACTAGTTTAGATGACTCGCAGTGATATGTAGTTTAATAGAACGTTCGTCGTCAAAAAGATATAAATGTTGCTGTCAAAAAGTACTATGTTGTTGGCGGAATGAGAAAGTCGGTGCCAAAGTTGTTGTGTCTGTGACTGGAAATCAGAGGTAGTGGCAGGAGTTGGAGGTAGGCCTGCACCTCAGTCACAAAGTCACAGCCAGGCAGTCAAAGGGAAAAACCACTTTAGCTCAATGAAGCTGGAAGATGCTGCCAGTCTAACTGACCGAATGGAGAACAGTCTTGCAAAACGTACTGCTCTGGTATCTGCCATTGTCAATTACCAGTGAAAGCGTCGAGTCACCTAACATCATACCGAGCTGACCGTCGTTTCGTGGAGTAAGGCCGTATCGATCCATGCGCCGATCAGCAATTGGCCCGCCACGCCGCTTGATGCTGGCTCTTCGCCGTTCAGCACATCGGTGCATGACATTTGGCGGCAACTCGAGCCAGAGTGACGCGTCTCTGGAACTTCTGCTCAGTAGCTTTCAACCATCGCCCTCCCTCTCCCGTGCTTGACCATTGCTTCATCCTATTTTGATGTTGCTGCTGGCAGCAATGGTTTTCGTGCATGGCAGGATGATCCTCTGTTGCGCAGTGATCAGCAGTGGTCACCACGACTAGCAGGCGTCCTTAGGGCTTTCTCCAACGCACATCATCTCGAAGCAGATCCATTTTCGTGATAGGCTCGTCTAACACAGAAGTACCTGTAGTTTGCGGCTCTGTTCATGTGATGCATTCTGCATTGCTGGCGCCACTATGTACTCGGGAGTTTACACTGTTGTGGCATCACTCGACTCTCACTACATCTGCAAGCAATCCAGATCAACAATGGCTAACACCATATCGTCTCCTCGCTGGGTTGCTTTCTTTCCACATCGTAAACCGGCAGTTTTGGTGGCACCTTTCTCCCGCTCAGAATTATCAAAATCTGCCGTGACAAGTCCCACGTGGCTATTCCAGTGCGACAATGCGCAGATCAGTGTCGGAGGCACAGATCAAGTCTCACAGACACGCCGGGTCCCGGAACTCTAAGAATCAACGCGACAAAAGGCCCACGCGTCACCTCTCTACTGCTCAATGACACCCAGCCAGTGCCCCTGCGTGCGGGGGATGAGGGGCTTGGGTTACGTAGCTGCCCTGGCAGGGTGGGATGGGAAACGTCTATCGATAGGCGCACGGTGATCCCTGTGTCCAACGTGAATAGCCCTACCCAGGTACGTAGGGTTTACTACTCGGTCCAGGGCCTCGATACGCTGCGGCCCTACGACGTTTTTGATCTCGGAGCTAACAAAATGAAATTATCCGAGCTTCGAAGAACCGTTTACACAGTATTCTCATTCTCAGCTTGGCATTGTCATATCAACAGCGCTGGACTCATACCGTCCTGTACGAGTACGTTCATGCTGAGGGATGTATTAAGGGCATCAGGCTGTTGAAGACCTAATCAAAGGCCCCGCCCGCATCTTCAAGCAACCGAGGTTTGTGAGATCTTCTACGAGTGCGAGTGCACAGCATTATTGATCTGTACGGAGTACTCGTACTGACTCGCGCTTCTGGTGCTTCTGTAGTGTTTGGTAGGTGGATGTTTGGCCCCGATGTGGAGTCCAATCTCCGGCGCTGGGTAGCCTAGCTTGCATGCAAGGACCTTTTGGGAACACGAACTCTGCCGAACCGGTCGTTCCACCCTGTCAGGAATCTCTATGTTGAGATTTGCCTGGCCAGGGCATCAATAGCAATGGCCGCATGTTGGATCTCCATGATCGTTTGTCCCACAGGTATTGAGGACTAGCTCTGCATCTTGCCGTCTGGAATTATCTGACAGATGGTCCTGCCTCTTCCCGACCGGCACGAGCCTCGCAACGGTTGATTTCACCTTCCAAGCAGAACCTTATGCGTGGATCCTTTGGTATCCTAACGCTGTTTGTCCCTGTCTTCTAGCTTGCCTCCACTACCAAGATGCTCGTTTCTTGGGTAGATCATTCGTTGACGCTTGAGTCTCTCGGGCCAATGCACAGTACATGCTCGCACTTGGCTCCGTCCGCGCTTCCATGCTATCCTCCCTGTCGCGAGTTCTGACTTCACCTGGACTGGCTCCAAGAGGCGGAATCTGTGTATCTGATCAGCCAATGCCTGGTTTAGCCTCGTTCCATAACCCTAGAGCAAGTACTAATTTGGGTATCCAAGGAGGACGGATGCGACCTCAGAGGTCAATCCGAACCTGAGTTAGCGATAACCTAACAGCTTCTGAAGGTTCCAAGGCTTCGCCCTTGTTGATAAAAAGATGACAGCCTGCTTGCCATTCCGACGAAACGCTGTGACTCTGTCTATTCAATTCATTCAGCGACAAAATGGAGCGCATTCGCTTGGCTGCTCCCGAGATATCCCGTGCCGCGAGACTCGATTACTACCACGAACATGCCTACGACTTCGACCATTTACGCCTCGGCCTCGCGAGCTCACAGTATCATCATCTTAAACAAGCACGACTATTGAAAGCCCTCGATGTTCTTTTGACACTGTTCGACTCAACCGCTCCGAGCCCACCGAGCACTGCTTTAGCCCAAGACTCAGCACGAATCTTCCCAGAATTTGGTCTGTCGCGTCCCTTTGGAATTATTACGGACAAGATTGACACATGTCAGCCTTCCTCGGGTCTCAGTTCGAAAGGCAATGAGGGATTTTGCAGGAATACGACATGGCTACAGAGCACGAAGTACAACCTGCTGGCTTTCGTCATCTGTGACTGGCGAAAACTACTGCTAGACCAGACGGCTCGGCCCGTTTCTGATGCGGAGAGCAGGCGCTCCGTCAGCCGCGTCGCATGGGTCGTGCATCTTCTTCAACAGGCCGCCTCACTTCGAGAATACGCCTCTTGCTCGGAAAAGGATGCATGCTTTCGCGAACACCTGATCATACCACTTTGCCGTGATACATTTGTCTACATACGAAGTCCAGGCGCTACCATATCTGTACACGTATTGTCTGGAGCTCATTAGGCATGGTTGACCGGTGCACGATCCTGTTATGCCTCATTGAACGAGATAGCATTATCGGGAGGGTGAATCCTGCTGATTATGCGGACCATTGATAGGTTGGCGTTCCGTCCTGGAACAGTGCTCGTACCTATGGGACAACTCTCCCTCTGAACACAATCTTTGCTGCGGGGTGTTGAACCATCATCCTTACCTTAAAATGGTGGCTCCAAACAGTGGCTTTTACGTCATTATGCTCTGAATGTGGCACTCACCCACCGAAGCTTCGACAAGCCTCGTCTGATTCGCAGTAAGCACTTCCCGCCTAGCGACACTAGCCACATGCAATCCCAGTTTCCAAGTTAAAGCCCCCTTTCACGAGTTCCGGGTCCCGTCAAAGTGCATCATCGGCGTGCCCAATTTTGGCCTGATCTTTCGGCCCGGTCGCCAGCTCATTCTTGGCTTTCAGATGTCCTTCACCTTCTGTGCGGCAGATGTTCGACCTACTTCATTCCTCCTCTTCTCGTGTGGCACCGGTGTCATAAAACAAAAAGAATGCGTACGTCGACCCTTTCTCGTACGCGAATCCAAGCACATTAACATTCGTCGCATTAGATCGCGTCAAAGCCTGGGCACACACATCTGCCCACAGGCACAATTTCAACCCGTGGTCTTCGTCACGCGACAACCAATCCTCAGACTCCGGCAAGAGCCCGGCGCGGGATGGGGATCCTGAGAAGAAGGAGAAGCCAGAGGCCTCGGTCCTCGGTCGCGTTGTTGCTAACGTCAAGGTGGCACTGTTTCATTCTTGGGTGAATGTCCTCTTGGTCTTTGTGCCAGTAGGTATCGCCGTTCATTTTGCCGGAGTCAATAATGAGGTGGTCTTCGCTCTGAATGCTGTCGCCATCATTCCCTTGGCCGGCCTCCTCACCTTCGCAACCGAATGCGTCGCCCACCGGCTTGGGCCAACGTTGGGCGCTCTGATGAATGTGAGCTTTGGAAACGCCGTCGAGTTAATCATATTGTCCGCTGCCAATTCAACGGTCTGGAAGCCTTGCTAACGTGCTGCAGCATCATTGCCCTTGTTAAAAACGAGATCCGCATTGTCCAAGCATCCCTAATCGGCTCGCTCCTCGCCAATTTGCTGCTCATCCTGGGAATGGCCTTCTTGATTGGTGGCCTAGAATACCAAGAGCAGATTTACGACAGCACAGTTACTCAGATGTCGGCCTGCCTTCTTGCGCTTGCAGTATTATCGTTACTGATACCTGTGAGTGTAGACCTCAATATGATCACCACTTACCGTTGCAAGAGGCTGATGGAGATTTTTAGACCGCCTTCCACGCATCTTTTAGCGATCTCCGGAAAGCTGATACTGCAGTCTTGAAGCTCAGCCGTGGAACGTCTGTCATCCTACTGATTATTTATGTCCTCTACTTGCTCTTTCAGCTCAAATCGCATGCATATCTGTATCAAGGAACGCCACAACATATCATCGACGAGGAAGCCACACCTGGAATTCTACAGCGTTTCGACTCTAGCAGCTCCTCCTCCGCCGATTCCTTGGGGTCTTCTGTCTCGACCGGCGGGTCACATCGGCGTGTGAGCAAGAGAATTAGGGCAAAGTTGGGCAGAAGACGACAAGTCAAAACTGAGGTGGAAGAAGAAGCGGACGACAAGGGGTCATCCGCGCAAATGAGCCCAGCCGTGGCAGACTTCCAAGCCGAGCAAACAGCGGAGCCGGAGGAGATAACTGCTCAAGACAGAGTTACCCTGCAGCTGCCCGCAAGCTCTCCAAAGCCGGCCGTAAAACCGGTCAATAATTCAGGGCACGGGATGCCGACAACCCCTGCGGATGCAGCCTCGAAGGACAGAAAAGGCATGGGGCCCCGAGGGCTCTCTTTCCGCACTCCCCCAGTCTTCCGATCATCGACAAACCCGTACCCTCCGGGCAGAGCATCAGATTATCCCCAGTCCTCACTGCGTCATTATTCGTCAGCACCTAATCAACAAAACCAAGCCCCAGAAGCTGCTAGAATTAAACGCCGGACATCCACCAAAAGTACGCAGTCTGAAGAAGAAAATGCTCCTCCAATGAGTCAGACTGCCTCAATTGTCCTCCTCCTGGTGTCCACTGGACTTGTGGCCCTTTGCGCCGAGTTTCTCGTCGGAAGTATCGACAGCCTGGTTGAAAACTCACCACTCTCGGAGGCATTCATTGGCCTCATCATTCTACCTATCGTTGGCAATGCAGCCGAACACGTCACTGCTGTTACGGTTGCTGCAAAGAACAAGCTTGACCTGGCTCTCGGCGTGGCACTTGGATCATCCATTCAGATTGCCCTTTTTGTCACGCCATTTGTCGTCATCCTTGGCTGGATCATGGACAAAGACATGTCTCTCTACTTCAGCCTGTTCGAGACGGGATCCTTATTCGTTTCGACCTTCATCGTTAATTTCCTGGTCCTCGACGGACGAAGCAACTATCTGGAGGGAGCATTATTGTGTGCGTGTTATGTGATTGTGGCTGTTGGCGCGTATTTCTTTCCTGATGGTCAAGATCAGAGCTCATTGACGAGTGGGCCGGGAGGTAGCTGATGCCATTTACCTTTTGGACTTTGAAGAGACGGTCGTCGATTTTGACTGGGAGATCGACTGCAGCCCCAACGTGCGGACTATTTGGAAACCCTCCGTATGACTCACCTGGGCCAGTGCAGCAGCTCATCTCAAGGCTAGCAGCATAACCGAGAACACCTATGCAGCGCCCTAACAAGACCGGGTTGTTGATGCTCTGTATGCTGCAGTGATGAAACAATGGGCAGTCTTTCAGCTTCCAAGGGCCCCAGGGCTGCCCTCTTCCTGTACAGGCTCTTCCTACGGCGCGAGGAGAAGCAGCCCTGGGCTCAGATTGGCCCCTAAACAAAGAGAGCACCCTCACAAAATCGGGCTGCTCTATGGTTGCGGTGGATCATTTGGCGCCAACGGGAACCTCTTACATGACAAGCAACAAACCGTGCGGATCGAGCAGAGTGCCTGTTCTATGGAGGAGCCGATGAAGGGTAGAGACCACAGTTTAAAAGAAGTACTGCAACAAGGAGTCGGAAAAGCCTGCAACCAGCATCATTCCGCCACCGCCGTTACAGGGCTGGATTGCCTGGACCCAGACGGCGAGGTCCATGGGAGTTCGCCGTAAGAGTCAGGGACGATAAAGTCCTCCTCACTGTCAACCCTCTTCCACCTCAGCAGCCTTTGCATGGCTTCCACAGATTCCGCCAGGTTCTGGCCCGAACGCAATGAATCCACCAGCAGGTCTGAACCTCCTCTGAAGCCCACACTTCCGCATCTGCCAGGTAGCAGGAGATTTCAGTTCTCGTGACTTCAATGGCAAATGACTCCGAAGATCTTGGTGCCATTCAGGCATCTGTGGCCGAAGCCTCTTTATCGAGACATTGAGATGAACTCGTTCGTAAGTTCAACGACTGCCACCGTGGCGGCGCACTTTCAAGGTCAAATTGTTAATGGGATGCATCTCAAAAAGCTACCCTTGACAAGCTCACAATCAATCATCTAGCCATTTCACGTCATGTCATGTATTCTGTCTGCTTTTGCCATCACTGTCCTCCGTGACGTCCGCACTTGGAAAAGCCTCGTGTCGCTTACTTCCCTTTCACCTGCTCACTTCCTTTTCGCCTGATACTCCTCCTCGGTAACCTCGTCATGCCACATGGTCTTCCCATGACTGACAGCCAAATGCATCATGAAGCTCCCATCGTCGCCCCCGTGCCAATGCGTCGTGCCGGCACTGCACCACACCGTGTCCCCCACGTTCAGCCGTCTCGGTTCGCCTCCCTTGTCGCACACCCAGCCCGACCCGGCCAGCACGCGGAGCATCTGCCCGTGCTCGTGGGTGTGCCAGTACGTGCGGGCCCCGGGCGTGAACATGACGTGGTTGATGTTGATGGTCGGGCCGGCGTCGGAGTAGATTGGACTGCGATTGTGGGCCGGTGTCAGTGTAGAATAAACACGGTGTCAGTGTAGAATAAACACAGTGTCAGTGTAGAATAAACACAGTGTCAGTGTAGAATAAACACAGTGTGGTTGACGATGTCTTGTAGACGGGAAGGAAAAGGGGTCGGCACTCACTCCATCCAGACCGTGCCGGTGAAGGTGCCGCCCGCCTGCCTGCTCGAGGCTGACGGGTTGCGGGACGAGGGGATGATCGTTGATGGCATCCTGGATATCTGGACTTGGGGATTAGGTATGTACTCGTGGTGTGCTGACGCGGGAGTAAGATGAGGGCGTCGGGTCAAGACTCTGTCAAGGACAAACATACACGGTCACTGTCACTGTCACTGGCAATGTCGGTGTCTCTTTCTCTCTCTCTCTCTCTGCCACTTGGTCCACTCCACCTTAGTCGCAGATCTTCCACTATCTGCCTTGGGGATACTAGTAGCCTATGCTTGCTTCCACCGTGATGTACTAATACTTTACAGTGGTGTAACTCGACTGGAGACCACTGTCTCTGCATCCGACGTCGGCGTCATTGGAGACGCCAGCAACAGCGACAACACCACGATTCCCCCACCCCAAGGTTGGAGTCAGCAGGTGGGTCGGTGACCCGGTTGATGTCGTGCAACTTCTCCAACGGAAGATTCTTGCCATCACCAAGATGACTGTCCCGCTGAGCAAATCCGCATTTGTGTAGGGGAGAAAAGTAAGCCACATCCAGTAATCCATGTTGGTCTACATTCTATATAATTGACATGGTCATCGCCGCTACGTTTCCTAGTAGTCTCGTTACAGACAGCCACACACGCGCTGCGCATATATATCCGGCGTACCCCAATCGAAGCTCGACTCTTGTCCCGTGGTCGCAGCGTTGCTTCTTGGAGCCACCCACGAGCTCGTGGCGCTCGATCTTTCCCACCGACGCCGTTCGTGACACCCGGTTCTACTGCAAGAGTAGGGAGCCCTTGTCCCGTTAAGCTCTTAGACAGAAGCGCCGCGTGACCTGTGGACGCATTGGGGCGTGTTCCATGATTGAGAACAGCTCACCCTCAAGCATGTCGCATCGGACCGTATCGGAGTGTAGCGTAACCTCTTATCCCAGTTCGAGCGGAGCTCTTGGCCTCCGAACTTCACAGAATACTCAACACACCACAGCCGGCACGACGACTCTGCCTCACTCCTGCGGCTTGTAACTGGCGCCTCTCTCTAGAGCCTTGCTCGGCCTCCCGCTCCGCCTCCAGATCGTCGATCCATCCCCGGGATCCACCATGTCCGTCGCAGGCAGCACCTCTCTCAACAGGTCATTGATATCCAGGCCCCGGTCCTTTGCCATCTGCCACTGTCTCGGATAGCCCAGACTGACCTCCTCGAACCGCACGCCGTCGCGCCAGTCGGTCCTGCGGACGTGCAGGTGGCCGGTCACGACGACCTTGGCGTTGTAGCGCGTATGCCAGTGCTCGGTCTTCTTGGTGCCGCACCACAGCGAGAACCGCGGGATTGTCGGGATCGTGATGGTGTCTTCCCTGAGCGGCCAGTGGTTGACCAGCACGAGCGGGATGCCGCGCCGGGAGGTGGCCTCGAGCCGTTCCTCGGCCTTGGCCACGAGTTCCTCGCACCATTGATCGCGCGACTCGTACGGGTCCGGGTGCAGGAGCGCCTCGTCCGTCGCGACGATGTTCTCTTCCATCGCCCACTCGAGCGCGTCTGCGCGCGACACGTCGTCCGGTCGGAACGAGTAGTCGTACAGCGTGAACAGCGGGCAGATGATACACGGCCCGCCCTCGCCTTCCCACTTGACGTACTCGTCCTCGGGCGTGATGATGCCGTACTCGTTCGCCACGCGCAGGCATTCCGCGTACTTGAGCTCGCCACGCAGTTCCTTGTTGAGCGCGTCGTCCTCGTGGCCGTCCGTCCGATCGCCCCGGCCTGGAAGAGTGTAGAGCTCGTGGTTCCCCGGCACCCAGAACACTTGCTTGAAGAGCGTGGTGGTGATGCGGAACGCGTCCTGGAGGTGTTCGAGCTTCTCGCCCACGTCGCCGCAGATGATCAGGCTGTCTTCCAGGTGGGGGCGCAGCTCGTCTAGGGCGTCGCGGTTGTGCTTGTAGCTGAGATGCAGGTCGGCTATGGCGTAGAGTTTTGTCATTGTGAAGCGTTGGCGGGTTTCGTCTGATCCGTGGATAGGTCGAAGGTACGGTGCTTCCTGGTACTCGGCCAAGTCAAGCCAGGACTCGAGCCAGTGGTACCACACAGGAGCTCCGGCCTGAAGGGCAGCAAGTGAGTGAGCACACACGACTGGGGTATCTTGCTTGAGCAGTAAGAGCGCTCATGTGACAAAATCCAAAGCGGCAAAGTGACTGGTTACGGATACCGTTGCACCGCTGCCATAATGTTGCGTTGTGGGTTGTCCGATCCTATCTTTCTCCTGCAAGAACCCCTCTATGAGTGACAGGGGACAGCGTGATAGTGATTATGGCTTGAGAGCGCCTTGATAGTTCCCCTACTCACTCCTCTTCAGAGTAATAAGGCTACGTGCGTGGATTCGGTGAACGAGATTAAACTGAGATTCGACTTAGCAGGGTTGACCGACACTAGCGCTGGGTGTTGGCCAATGAAAGCCTGTCTCCCACGCCTCCGCAACTCCCGGAGGCGCAAGAACGTTTCTTCCGAGTCGGCGCTGGCCAACAATCGAGCAATAGAACACACGAGGTCTACTCCTTACTGGGGCGCAGATGTTCGTCCATCACCGGGACTCTGAGGATATGACAAGTCTTGCAGGTAAAGGTGAAGTGACGACGAGAACAATCATACCTCTACAGCCATGCATCGAAGAGACATCGACGCACCAATTTCACTCCAAACACAATCAGTATCGGTCTATACGCAGGTGCCATGTTTCGCAGGCCCATTCAATTCATCTCAGGCAGGTCGACTCAGATCAAACGAATAAGATCACTCTCCCTTTCGTACAAGACTTGACCAACAACACAAGATGGCTTTTCTCACCTCATCTTTTGCCCTACCCCAGGCAGTAAGTTCCTGTGCAAGAAGCCAAAATGAACCAAACTGAAAGCATATGCATGCCCTGTAGTTCTTCCCATACGCCAGACCGATCCCTGCGGATAAACCGACCGGTAGATTCTGTGCTCGTGTCCTATTCCCATTGCTTCAGATCCCGCCAATCACATTACGCCATTTCGCGTGTCATAAGTATCCGACCCCGAACGCCCGTGGTATCTTATGGCTGTGTAGTATTTGCTGTTCGTCATTCATTAGATCGATTCTCTGTGTTCGTGGCCGTTGCTTCACAAGCAGGTTTGCCCGGAGCACCCCCTGTTGGCTACCGGACCCAGTTCTCGTCATCTCTTTCATCGTCCAAGACTAATCGAGGGTCGGACATGTCAGGAGCGGCTGACCACGACGGATCGTCTGCCATAAATGCTGGCGCTACCGTAGTCTTCGGTTGCTGGGCCGGCTCATAAGGCATCACATCAGGGTGCGCGAATCTCATGGCTTCTTTGACCGTATACGAGTGTTCCCCCGTTCCTGTACTTCCGGGCGTGGATATGCTCGGCGTCAATCCCCGACTCACACTGGACAAACGCGAAGGCTGCTCCGCATCCTGTGGGTTCATCTGCATCTGTGCCAACTGGTTCTGCATTTGCATCCTTTTCGTCTCCGCTTCGGCCTGTTTCAGGAAATCGTCAATGGCGAGACTTCCGAGGTCGTCATCCGCCAGCATGCTCGCTTGAGGGGTACCGAAAAGGGACGAGGCCGAGCTCAGCCGATGACGTTCTGAAGCGTCGTCTCCGCCAGGACTGCTGAGCTCATTGCTCATAGGTCGATCGTTATTCCAGCCGTTGGGGTTGGAATTGGGAGACGGCTCTTCGACTTCAGAGTGCTCTCCGCTCGAAGGGCTGATCCCTACCCTATGGATCTGGTTCGCCAGGTCGGAGGGGGAATGTTGAAACGTAGGAGGCTGCGACATCAGGTACGGGGAGTTCCTCTTGCTCATGGGGTTCAGGTTGTACATGTTGTTATTGTTATTACTATTGGTAAGATCTAGGCTGGAGTTCGTCCAATCAATTGAGGACCCGTCATTGACTCCTGACCAGGCTGGTGGCTCGTATTGATGTGCCTGGTCGTAGGTCATGAACCAGTTGTCCGGAAACGTCTCTGGCAGAGTCAGATCTTGCTGGCTCGGGTTTTGACTGTTCGCAAGACTGGTAGACTGAGAGGGTGGCGTATCTGCGCTGAATGGGGAATAAGCGTAGGAGCGGGGGTCAAAGCTGGGGATTTTGAAGTCCGACATGGGCGACTGCGCCGCCATTTTCGTTGGCCCAAGTACAGGTGAGTTGTGCTCGGATCTGACCTTGCGCTCTACGATTTGCATGGCTTCCGTAATCGAATTGTGCAGCGGCGACTCGTGGAAAGGTCTTGCGGATTTGGTCAGTAGAAGGTTGTCTGTGGAACGTTGAGCGAGCTCCCGGTGGCCATGAAGCGAGTTCGACCTGGAGGGGATTTTGTATGGTGTACCAAGCTGATTATGGGCGTCGTTGAACCTGTGGACCGGTTTGTGATGGCCATTGGTAAAAACGGTCGTCTTGGGGTCATGGGCATTTTTGTTATGCCATTGCTTGGGGTGATCCTTTGGCTGGATGTACTGTGGTATGTCTTCAGGAACCGGGTCTAGGTGTGGCTCCTTCTTCAAGGAACAGTTACAACGCGAGCCATGTGAGCAGCAGCAGGTCTGCGGGTCTGCGCGGACGTCAGCGCCATGTCCTTTTTTACCATGTTGCAGTGCAAGCGCACCATGTTTTCCATCATGCTTGTCGTGAGGGCAGTTCTCTTTTGAATGTCCCTTGTCGTGGCACTCGCACTTGACATGTTGCGAGCGAGACTTTCGCAGGCCTCGGCAATGTTGGCATTGTGACACTGGGCGACCCTTTTTGTTGACATGGACGAGGAGACGGTCTGACCGAGTCAGTATAGAGAACCACGACTCTTGAGTATCGTAGTAAACTCACCTTGATGGTGGCAAGAACTCACGCGATGACCCCTCACACACGCTTCGCAGGCGAATTTCTCCCCGTTGATGAGCATCTTGGATGTTCGCTTGTTCGCTTGATCGCAACGCTTCTTTCGTGCGGAATATTTCGTCGCAGAGAGCGATCAGGGCAGGTAAGGTTTAGCGGAGGGCCCGATCGCTCGACCGGTTAGATGTGACGGTCGCAAGACAGCACCAGTGGGTACGCCGTCGGCCACGGCAGCGACAATGGTGTGGAAAGTCGAAACCCCGGACTCAGCAGATACGTATCGACAGGGCAGTTGAAACCCAATAGAAAGCGCCGGGTGGTGCAAGCATGAACGTCGTCGACCACGCTATGGGAGAGTGCGGAAGAGGTGTCGTGGGATGTATCCGAAAAGACTTCGTTAAAGGAACTGCCAGACGCCGGAAAGGTTGACCAGGAGAAAGGAAAGATGAACTGTGACAAGATCGTCTAGTATGGGTCCGGATCAGCCATCTCGTGCTTCTCGATATCCCGCAGAGTGATGCTGTTGTTGATATTGTGTGCTACGAACCGAAGCGGTGGGAGGAGTGCTGGTCGTAGAGATGGGGGTGTGAAGGGTGGAAGGCAATTTGTTCCAGAAAAGCAACAAGCGAGGAGGACGCGGAAGGATGGAGGTTTTGTTGGAGAAAGCCACTGAGCAGTGGCTCGAGTGGTCAGTGGGATGGACCGAAGAGGACGGGAGAGCAAGGTGTGTGAGGTGGTATTTCGATTCGAGTTTGGTGGACTGCAGAATTCGCAGACTGTGCTGCTTGCTCGCCGTGAGATGAGTACCACGTCTTGTGCTCCGTACGGATCCACGGTCGAGTTACTCCAGACTTGTCGTTGATATGCTTGATCTTCAAGGCCTGATTTCCTGTTCTTGAAGTTCCGGAAGGTTTTCGAGAACAAACCCAGGTACGTACCGACTTTTGCTCGTTCCCTGAGGATCGTGAAGTGAAGGGGGGGGATGCGTGAGCGGCCCTGGCAAGAGCCCTGAGCAATGCAATGCAATAGCGGCTGCTCTCGCAGGAGCGGCCCACCACCCCTCTTCCATGGGCACCGCCGCTATTTGGGCGCGGTGTCTTCGCTACACTGCCACTGCTTTGGGTTGGCCGAGGACCGTTCTCGCCCAGCGCAAAGCCTCTAACCGGCGGGCACAAGTAGGGTTGCAACCCCTGTCCGCCTTTTTGGCTATGCCTAGCATCTGGAACAGAGGCTCCGGCAGCGTCGGGATGCGAATGCTGTCACATGGTCGCTACGTGATAGTGAGTACTCTGCAGGCTGCTCTGTACGTTGTGACCCGGAGAATTACCTTGATCAACCCTGCAGGAACGAGACAGGAAGAGTCACAAGATATGATTTTTTTTGGCTACCCACGAGGAGCTGCAATACGCCGTGCTCAGCCATGGCACGAGTTGTATCAAGGCCCGATGATCCCTCTCCCCCGGCGGACACTTCCAACAAGTTCTCCGCGCATTTCGTTGTGGGCAATCATTTAGAGTCTGATTACTTGGTCACGGAGCTTACGACTTCCCTCTACTCGTCTCTTGTGTCAAGGATGATGATGAATCCCGCTGCACCGCGCTATTGCGGTGAGCTCGAGCCGCCCATAATCGAAACGTGGACGAATGCACAACAAGGCCCGGCCAGCTCGCATGCGCGACGTACAGTGCAAGTCCTTACGTAGGTACAAACTCGGGTTCTTTTGGTTATCTGAAAGGCTATCCAAAATGTTGCTGAAATGCTCACTCATCTCATAACTAATATAGCAGGCATGAGTCCGAGGTTTCCAAGCCCAAGCAAGTCGGGCACTCTCAAGGCAAGCTCGACAGCAGTGGTGCAAGGTCACCATCATCGGTATTGTCCGTTCGTCGAAGTCGTGATGCCTCTCGCGTCTCGCGTTCGTACTGTTGCAGCTCCCTGCCCAAACAATCGAACGCTGCTGATAATCCAAACTCCCGTCAATGCCCTTCCTGTACAGCCAGAAGTATTCTAGCACCGAAAAGCCCAAGTCCAATCACAGCTCATCACACCCATCTCTGTACAGCCCAAGAATAGCTCACCTTGTCCTCTCTCCTCACGTGGAAGGTCCAGCCTTGAGGACCTCCTCGGTGGCTTCACTCGCGTACTTCTCAAAGTTCTCGTTGAACAATTTGCCCAGTTTGGTCACCTCCTCGCCAAAGTCGGCGGAACCAGTCCACGACTTTTTGGGGTTGAGAAGTTCATCGGGCACGTTGGGGCACGTCTTGGGAACGCTGAGGTTGAACACATCATAGGTTTCATACTCAGCGTTGGCAAGCTCTCCAGAGTGGATGGCGTCCAAGATGGCACGGGTATATTTCAACGGGCAACGCTTGCCACCAGTGGTAGCACCGGCACCAACCCAGCCGGTGTTCAGCAACCACGCGTTGGCGTTGTGCTCGGAGATCTTGTCAGCGAGCATCTTTGCGTAGCGCATCGGGTGCAGGGCCAGGAAGGGCTGCGCAAAGCAGGACGAGAAAGTAGCTTGAGGCTCAGTGACGCCGTCTTCAGTTCCTGCCATCTTCGATGTGTAACCGGAGATGAAGTGGAACATGGTCTGGGCAGTGTTCAGCTTAGAGATCGGCGGCAACACTCCACGAGCGTCGCAAGTCAAGAGGATGATGTTGGAGGGGTGGTTGTCCGACATGCAGGGAATCTTGGCGTTGTGGATGTAGTCGATGGGGTATGCGCAGCGAGTATTCTCTGTCAGGGTGGCATCATCATAATCGACATCTCGGGTCTCGGGATCGAAGACGACATTCTCCAAGACTGAGCCGAAGCGGATGGCATTGTAGATATCAGGTTCCTTCTCCGCGGACAGACCAATGCACTTGGCGTAACAACCTCCCTCGATGTTGAAGACGCCCTTGTCTGACCAGCAGTGCTCGTCGTCACCGATCAACTTGCGCTTAGGATCGGCTGAGAGCGTTGTCTTGCCAGTGCCAGACAATCCAAAGAAAACAGTCACATCACCCTTCTCGCCCTCGTTGGCCGAGGAGTGCAGGGTCAAGACGTTGTGCTTGACGGGCATCTCGTAGAAGAGGACTGTGAAGATACCTTTCTTCATCTCACCAGCATATTCGGTGCCGAGGATAACCATCTCTTTCTCAGCAAAGTTGATGGCAACACTGGTTGCACTGGTCATCCCAGTCGTGTATCGGTTAGCAGGGAAGGATCCGGCGTTGTAGATGACATAGTCGGGGTGGAAGTTCTTCAGCTCTTCGCGTGATGGTCTGATGAGCATGTTGCGCATGAATAGTGCATGATAGGCACGGGCGCAGACAACGCGGACGTTGATGCGGTACCGCTCGTCCCAGCCGGCGAAGCCATCGATGACATAGATGCGGTTTCGGGTATTGAGATAGTCAACAGCTCGTTCTCGGTTGATCTTCCAGACCTATATCGTAGATGTTAGCAACCTCTCAATCCAGTAACTCAATGAAGCATGAGCAAGGTGCAGCTCAAAGGTTTAGGCGGGGCTGATAAACACAAGCCGCAAGAAATTGCCGACAATGATAGGAACTTGTTCCAGACGCTAACCCCGGCCGTGTGCACCCGCAGCCAAGACCTGAAGCCGCGGCATAAAGCTCCAGCTGCGTCATGGGCCTTCCCGAGCAAATGCGGGGCAGGGCCACACGTCAAACCGCCCGTGTTTCCTGCCGTCCGTGGCGCATCTGCGAACCACTGCATCATCCTGCATTGCGGGGGAACGGCACTCTGTAGTCGTCGAGTTTCGATCGATGACACCAAGAGAAAGCTGAGGCCTTTTTGACTAGCCGCATGCTGGATGCCATGACATGTGCTCAATCTTCTCGAATCGGCGGACCAGTCTTGGAAAGACAGATAGAAAGATAGCAGAGCAATACTAACCTCCGGCGACATGGGTTTGTTGACGGGTCCCCACCAAACATCCTTCTCCGACCCTTCCTCTTTAACCACACGCTTATCTAGTGGGGAGCGGCCAGTCTTGGAGCCTGAGTATGCCGTCAGGGCTCCTGTCGAGGTGATTGCAGTGCCAGTCTCGTAAACCAGAGCATCCTCATATAGAGCAGATACTGATGGGTTCGCAACGATGGCCACACGGTCGTAGTCGATATGTGCGGAGGTATGTAGTTCTTCCTCGAGCTCCGTGTGCTCGCGGGATGGCCTGGATTGAAGGTGAGTCAAACGTCATGTGTAGTCAAGAGGGGTCAACAACAACGTACTCGACACCACCTGGGTGGAGGGCGGTCTTGTTGACCGAGTGAGAGACCATTTTGGTGGAGTAATTTCGAAGCTGGGTTTTGGCTAGCTCAGAACGTGCTGTGCCAGTTGCTGGAGAGGGTGACTGAGGGCGGATGTGGTCGACAGCTTGAAGACGGGAAGAATAGTCTGAAGCCATGATTCGGGGAACGCCCTGATATTGTATCTTCCTGACGATGGGGCCAAGCCGAACAGAAGTGCTATTTCCCGATGAGGTCGCGGGACAGATCGGAGAGCAACGAGTTGGGTTTGCGTACAGAGGTAATCCGACTCTGCCCGATCAAAGCTGATTGGAAGAGACGCAATGCCGTTCATATGCCGTGTTCTACTAATTGGAGATCAAGTCCACAGCTGCGGAGCATGCGATAACGATTGCAAATGCCCTTCTTATTATCGTCTTAGAGTACCGTGAAGTGGAAAGAAAGGAAGGGAGGGGTGACGTTAGACAGCTGGAACTGAGGTGGAGGCAAACATCCCCGTCCGCAGCTCCAGCTGAGGAGAAACTGCCACAACCGACACATTGTTGCTCTTCCCCCGCTACCAATTACCTGATACCTTGCAGAAGCCGTTCGTCAACTGCCTGTCAGCTGTAATGTTATTTCCATCCTCTCGGCTGTGCGTCACTTAAGGCGTCTTTGTGCTCGAGGCAAATGTGATTCTCCTCTTGGCCGCTCAGTGATTTTCCCAAAAAAGATGGCCATGACGAGGGGTTGCATGTCATCGACGAGTCCTATTCGATGGGTCAGCGGCTCCGTTAACCAAGCACTCGAAGATGGACATATGGAGGCACCGCATCTTCAGGCGGGGAAAGCCCAACATTATCATAAAGCGAGAATGAGTGACCCAAGCATTATCAAACCGTATCCTCTAAGTACCAGATGGTTGAGACATCTACATCATTGCAACTCGCCAATGGACACAAAGGTGCGCATCCGCCGCTCGATCGACATCTCCTAGAACTCATCCTCACAATCCATCTGTCCGAGAAACCCCAGATTATCCCAAGGCTGCGTCTTCTCCAGAATTTAGTTGGTGGGAAATTGTATAGCGTTGCATTTTGCTGGCTTTCACGTCATGGACTTCAAGCAGTCTTCTGCCATGCTCCATAGACTCCAAGTAAACTGCTTAGTGTGCCCGCAAGACCGATAATCCCATCATCAAAGTTGGCATAGCCGAGATTGGTGCTGGGTACCGTCAGGTCGCAAAGATCGGAGATTAGCTGGATATTAACAGCTTGTTGTTGTCTATCATGAGCAAGTCAGCATTGTCAGTTCTCCATACGCAATAAACCAGAGCCCGCAATGCCCAACATACCTCGCAATCTTGACCTTCTCAACCTTGGCCTCGGCGTCCTTTTCATCGACAGCCTTGGTCCGTTCGCGCAGTTTGTAGGTGTTGTAGAGCCCAGCAAGGGCGCTGGCGGCCAAACCCGTGAACCAGAAGCGATAGGCCGTGGCCTGAACACTCTTTGCTCGAGGATCTTTCTTGACGCCCATTGCGTCCAACACAGTCATCGTGTCAAAGAATAGGTACCCAGTGTAGCCAATCTGTCTCAAGATTTGCAAATATTGGGTGACCTTGTCGCCATTATTCGACTTCATTGCCGCATCATAGATCTCGGATCCGGCGCGGATGTGTTCGACGAATTTTCCCACTCTCAGTATCTTCCTTGTCAGACTGAGTTGGGTCTTTATCACAGCCCATGGCAGGATGGCGCTCGTCGGGTTGTTGGTGCGGTAGAGGTACCAAGCATAGAATCTCGAAAAGTATTGGATCGTCCGCAGTACTTTGTCTCGTCCAACTGCGTAGATAAATCGCGTCAATAGGCATTCACTGAGGGGTCAGGATCGCTGCTTACCGGTAGTCGCGACATATCGGAGGTAATGGGTCACCGCAGGGTGATAAACAAGGGCATCTGCGACCATGGTTACAAAGCTCCCTGCGCTATTCAACTATCAAAGACGCTGAATTCGGAGACCGGGCAGATTGGAAAAGAGGACGGCCTAAGCACAGAATCAAATGCAGAGGGATGGCTGTCGGTTGCGCAAACAGAGAAGTTGGAAGGGTAGGAGAGGTCGACCGCCCCGGAACAAGAACAAGACACGCCTGCCTCGGCACCTTCGGTCATTCCCAATGGATGCCCCTTTCCATCTCTCTGCTCGCTGTCTCCCCTCAAATGTCACATGAAAATGTAGACTTTTGTATACAAAGTACATTCATCGGGCTTAGAGACCTCCTGCGTTCCGTTCAACTGGCGGGAGCTCACCAGCGAGATGATTCAGCATGTGCCTGTGTTATCTGCTTGCCACTTCAGCCTCCTTGTAACCTCAAGCAAAGCCTGGATTCGAAGTCACTGGGTTCCGTACCTTCCAGCAGCAGTCAAGATCCGAATGGCACTATTGGCATCGCATTCTCTGGCTCAATCGGCTTCAATCCGCTCTACCTGCATTCATAACTCGCTTCTATGCTCTTCACAACCCATTAAGGAGAGTCAAACCTGCTGTCTTGCTTAGTCAGTCTCTTACCATGGCCGCTGGCACCAGGTGAAGACCTGATGCCTCTGAAGATGTATAGCTATCTGGTCCCCCATGTAAACGAGCCGACGCCGATAAAACAGTGGGCTGGAAAGCGCTTACGCCTTCCGCATCACTGGTAATGTGATGCTTAGGCGAACTGATCTCAGGTGGACAAGATCGTGGTCTTGAGGTCCCTGCCGCTGCCCAGCCGCTTTCGCGGCAACAATTCATTTTCAAACACGGAGTATCGCCTACTCTGTTGAAGCCTGCGAGCAGTGAAGCGCCTTAGCACACCGCGTGACTGACCAGAAAAAATAGGCATATAACATTGACAAGTACAGAGTTGTTCGCAAATCAGCCTAAGGATGTATCTGGTCAACAACCTCTGGGACCTGTTCTTCACGAACGCGCGTTCAGTTGTGGGATTCTGCCCGGTGACTGTTGACAGCGGGGGCACAGTGTCTACTGTGTCTCGCGGATCTGGCACTGTGATAGGGGAATCACTGATTAGTATGTACGAGGGTAAAGAAGTGCGCCTATTCGAATTCCAGGTGATCATTCTGATTTGTGGTTTTTTTTTTTGCGTGGATTTCTTTCGAGGCTGAGCTTTTGTGAACAAGCCGTGTGACGATATGGGGTAATACCTCACAAACCCTGAGGTCGAGTATTGCAGGCGGCGTCCTCATGTATTACGCTGTGGCCTCCCTCCTTCTTTTTTTGATACTCCTGTGTGCGTTACCTCCTGGGGCAACGGAATCAGATCTGAGCGTTCGTGAGGACCAGGAGCCTCTCTCCTCTTTGATTGTGCTCCAGGTTACTCATGGCTTGCTCTGTCCAAATGACGATGCCGACTCACCGCAAAGAGCGAGCACGTCTTTCTGACCTCCTACCAGTTTCTACAATCATCCCCGAAATTCTTCATGCATAGAACGCCCCGTTCTCAGACATTGCGCTCTTATATCTGGGTGGCGACAGGCGTTGACCAGGTCCAATGGATGTAACAGGTGTGCGGAAGAGAAGTGGTTGGTCTGGAATACGCTCGCACTTCCAGTCGTGACTGCTATCAAGAGACCAAAGCAGCAATCCAACAATCCACGCCTTCGTCCACTCCCCTGGCATGAATATTTGTGGGTACGCCGCATGCAAGACAGATCGAGTTGACCAATGACAATCATGTCGATCACCCATCTGCAGCTGGGAGGCCTTTAAGCTCGGAGAGTGGCTTCAAGTTCCGTGTCACAATCGGCGCACCCAAAAGTGGACCCTGACAACTCGTATGTCGAGCAAGGTCCTATGTGAGTCCTGGCAATCATGGCACGAATCGATGGGAATTTTCTACCACATCATGCACGGATACGAGGACATGGCCTTGGTATTGTCAGATTGTCCCTCACCATGGTGCTCGTAACGTTGCCGTGCTCAGTCGTTAACGACGGACTGTGCACGCGTCGACATTGAGAGATTGGGTTTTTCCAAAGATGCTCAATCATGCGGCTCGGGCGGCACTTATTTGAGGGTTAGCTGAAGAGGTTTGCATATTCTTCCGGCTGAAAGCACCTAGGCAGCTGTTGCTACACATGTACAGTCCGTAAGATAAGTTATCCCATGCGCGGCCGGAATTGTTGACAGCAGGTCTTGGCATCCCGGAAATCTGAGCACTGTGCAACAACTTAGGCATGAAAGGTTCATTTTTATATGCTGGAGAGTGTTCAGCATGACTTCTCTACCTGTCCCTCAAGTTTTACGGTAAGAAACAAGCTGTGTAGTAGTAACTGCAGTGATAATGTACGGTATATATCTCGGATCTCTCTACAGCTACAGTACACGCAATATCTTACGAATATTGTACGTAACAGCTTGAACTTGAGACATGAGTAACGAAGTCATGCTGAACACTCTCCAGCATATAAAAATGAACCTTTCATGCCTAAGTTGTTGCACAGTGCTCAGATTTCCGGGATGCCAAGACCTGCTGTCAGCAATTCCGGCCGCGCATGGGATAGTATTTTCGGTCGTCGTTAGAACCACCAGATCTGTACTGATTGGCTGGTCAGAGCCGCTGTCCCAAGACTCTGTTAGCCGAGGCTGGACCAAGCTCGCTCCGGGGCTTTTGCGGAGATATGGAGTGATGGCGCTATTGTTCTTCTACAGTAAAAGCCTTACATACAGTTGAACACTCTCATAACATCCAGGTTGCTGAGCTGCTGGTGCCTTGCCATAAACGATATAACCGGAGCTCTTCTCTCATAGCAGTGGGTCATAGCAGCCTGCCTTGCTGGATCGGCATATTCTACGTCCCAAGGCGTTCAAGTCAACCGAACAAGTCTGCTTCTATCCAGCTGCTTGTGATAGTGGCAGCATTGAAGGGCCAACAAAGCAGGAGCTTTCAGCATCATGCCTACGGATTCATCTTTCCCAGATGTAGACATACCCAACGTCGACCTCTGGGGGTTGATGTTCGAACGCGCCAGGGACTTTCCTGACTCGCGAGGTCGGTGGACCATGTCTCCAGCTACTCCTGCAGCCGGCGCTGACAAGGTGTCTAGTGATATACCGCGCGGTAGACTCCTCGCGACATTACACGTGGGCTGACGTGAAGGAAGCTGCTTCAGCCTTCGGCGCGGGCCTTCGCAACCTGTGGGATTGGCAGAAGGGCGACGTGCTCAACATCTACGCACCCAATGACATCGACTTCAGCCCCATTGTGTACGGCGTCTTCTTTGCCGGAGGTATCGTGTCGCCAGCAAACCCGGCGTACTCGGCAGACGAGCTAGCCTTCCAGTTGAACAATTCCGGCTCAAAAGCCATTGTGACGACGACGGATTTCTTGGCGACGGCATTGAAGGCGGCGAAGAAATCGAACATCCCCGAAGACCGCGTCATCCTGCTGGGCAGCAAACGGGATCCGAGTCACAGGGTCAAGCACTGGAGCAACATTCGCAAGACATCTGGCGCAAGTCGGTACAGGCGGCGGAAGATGGATCCTGACAGAGATCTGGCTTTCTTGGTGTACAGCTCAGGCACCACGGGCCTCCCGAAGGGTGTCATGCTAAGTCACCGCAACATCATCGCCGACTTGCTGCTTATCAACGGAGCCGTGGGCAGATGGTATGAAGGAGGCCAAGACAAGATCCTCGGCGTTCTGCCTTTCTACCACATCTACGGGCTTACTGGGCTCGTTCAGCAACCCTTGCATCGCGGCATTGAGCTTGTAGTCATGCCGGCTTTTAACCTCGAGGTATTCCTGAAGGCGATCCAGGAGCACAAGATCACGTTCATCTATGTGGCACCGCCTGTGATCGTGCGGTTGGCCAGAGATCCGGCGGTCGACAAGTACGACCTTAGCAGCGTCAAAATGATCACGAGTGGAGCGGCTCCTTTGACCAAAGAACTGGTCGACGCCGTTCACAGACGGCTAAAGATCAAGATAAACCAGGCATATGGGCTGAGCGAGACAAGCCCAATGACACATACGCAAGTAAGTTACGTCTCTAACGGAGTTGGTCACGGCAAAGACTTTCCTGCTGATCACAGCTCTAGCCTTGGGACGAGTGGTACTCCTCAGTGGGAAGCGTTGGTAAAATGTTTCCCAATATGAAAGCGAAGTATATGTCCCCGGACGGTACAGAACTCGGGCCTGGTGAGGTGGGAGAGTTGTGGTTGTCTGGGCCGAACATCTTCAAGGGATATTGGAAGAACGAAGAAGCGACCAGAGAGGCGATCACACCTGACGGCTTCTTCAAGACTGGGGATGTGGGCTTCCAGGACAAGGACCACAACTTCTACATCACGGACCGAGTCAAGGAGCTGATCAAGTACAAGGGCTTCCAGGTTGCTCCCGCCGAGCTGGAGGGTAAACTGATGGATCACCCTGCGGTCAACGACGTCGCTGTCATTGGTGTGAATGATGACGAGCAACATACGGAGGTGCCCAGGGCTTATGTGGTGGCTAGCGATAAGAGCAAGACGAGTGAGAAGGACGCGGATGAGATTGTGCAGTGGCTGACGGGCAAAGTGGCCAACCACAAGAGACTCCGAGGGGGCGTGAGATTTGTGGACGAGATTCCGAAGAGTGCTGCGGGTAAGATCCTTCGCAGGTTGTTGAAGGAGAAGGCAAAGGAGGAAAATGCCGCCAAGAACGTGAAAGCGAAACTATAGCAAGACGAGTGCTATCAAATACCCAGTACATAGTATGCATATATCTACAACTGCCAGTCGTCAAAGCTGGTTCAGCAACGTTGCCTAGTGACGGAAAGGTATTCCGCAACGCTGAGGTCGGTCAGGGAGTGATAAGTGAGTGACTGGGTAAGTGATGGGTGACTGACAGGTCAGTGCTGGGTGACTGATAGTGCAAAGCCGACGTTACGTCAGGAAGGAACACCCGAGTGTCAGAGGAACAAGGCGAGGATCAAGCCTTTTTAACCCGCGCTCTGAGCAATCAAATCGAAGTCTGTGCCGATTAAGCGTTGGTCTGAGCCGCACAGACCCAAAATGCAAAGTGTCCACGTGTCCACCTTCTACTCTTCACCCGTCATTTGGAAATTCTTTGACGGCCTGATAGATCTTCTTTTTCCGAGTTTGAAATTTTGTCGAATGGTTCTGGAACGAGGCCAATATGTTGCTCCTTTCGGTACACGTGCTCGGGGTGGGACCCGGTAGGCGAGACCACTTTGGCCACGCGTCCTCTTCTATCGAAGGGTACTGTTAGTGAGCATGGCGGGCACTCTCCTAGGAGCTGTCCAGCGCGACCCCCCAGTTCCACGCTATCTTTGTACGAAGCAGCGGCGATCCCGAGGCCGACAGTGTAAGCGCGAGGCCGTCTCATGCAATCTGATTGCCACCGAGGTTGCACTCTGCCTTCTAACCTCACATGTAGAGTCATACAAGCAGCTACAACTGGCGAGGTGGCAGATGCTGTTTGCCGGTTAGATTAGCCCCTAGCAATGGGCACGAGACCGTTTTCGGACATGATCTCGAGAGACCCTGGCACCCAGTATCACTTCCTACTCGTACGAGCTATGAGTTGGCTTCCTTTTTCCCTCGACTCTGCAGACTGACGTTCTCTCCACCTCCCAGTGTCTCCACTCATGCTGTCAATCTGCTTGGTTCCCAGCTTGCAGTTTCTCCTTTCGGAGTCGTTATGACCGCCTTGCGGTCGCTAGAGGCTTGACGCAGGATCTTCCTCAACAGCATTCGACCGGCTAGTGGGCTATATATACAGTGTCCCGTCCGGCAGCCTCTGACCTGTTACTTGCACTTGACAACAGCTAGGTTCCCGCACAGCCAATCCTATCACAATGGCCACCGCCGAGGAGAAGATCATCGAGCAGAATCTCGGCTCGGAAGCCGCGCGCCGATATTCTATCCACGAAGCGGCCCTCGACGCCACTCCAAAGTCACGATGGGAACGCACCTGGCCTGTGCTCGCCTGCGGTGCGGGACTGTTTTCTGACGGCTATCTCAACGGTGTCATCGGATCCGTCAATACCATGCTCAAGACAATCTACAAGGACGAATACGTCAAGTCCGATGCTCAGAATAACGTCTCCTCGATCGCCTTTGCGGGCACTGTCGTCGGACAGCTCGCGTTCGGCTATCTCTCCGACCACTGGTCTCGTCGCCACTCGCTGTTGGTATCCACAATCATCTTGATCGTCTTTGCTGCCCTTGGCGCTGGGTCTTATGGCGCGGGCGGCAGTATCCAAGGCCTATTTGCTGCGTTGACGGCTTTTCGTTTCCTTCTCGGTATCGGTATTGGCGGAGAATACCCTGCCGGCTCGGTCGCGGCGGCAGAGAGTACTGGAGAGCTCAAGCGAGGCCATCGCAACAGATGGTTCATCTGTTTCACCAACTTGGCCATCGATGTCGGCTTCGTGGTTGCCGCATTCGTGCCGATGATATGTGCCTTGATTTTCACCGACAAGCACCTGCGAGCCGCGTGGAGAGTCTGCCTAGGATTGGGGGTCATTCCTCCTCTCTCGCTGCTCTACCTGCGGATCAAGCTCCAAGAGCCCGAAGAATATAACCGCAACAAGATGCACCACTATCCGTATTGGTTGATCCTCAAGTTCTACTGGTGGCGCTTGACTGTGGTTGCGCTGATTTGGTTCATTTACGACTTCTCCGCGTACTCCTTCGGCATCTACTCCTCTTCGTGGCTGGCGTTCCTGCTCCCGTCGGACGCGCCCCTGTGGAAGAGTTTCGGCTGGAACACGGTCATCAACCTGTTCTACGTTCCCGGTGCCGTGATCGGAGCATTCCTCTCCGACTGGATTGGCCCTAAGTACTGTCTTATCACCGGTGTCCTCCTCCAGGGCATCGTCGGCTTCATCATGACGGCTATCTACAAACATCTCGACCAAGCCTCCCAAGTCGGTGGCTTCGTGGTCATCTACGGGATCTTCCTCGCTCTCGGCGAAATCGGCCCCGGCGACAACATCGGTCTCGTCGCATCCAAGACCTCGGCCACCTCCGTCCGCGGTATGTACTATGGCATTGCGGCCGCGTGCGGCAAAATAGGCGCCTTCGTCGGCAATTACATCTTCCCCGACATCATCAAGGCGGCGGGAGACGACATCATCAAACAAGGACAATACCCCTTTTACGTGAGCAGTTCGCTCTGCATCTTCAGCGGGATCATTGCCTTTGTGTTCCTGCCCAATATCGGACAGGACACCATCACCGAGGAGGATGAGCGATTTAGGCAACATCTCATCAAGCACGGGTATGATGTCAGCACGTTGGGCACGAGGAAATATCATGAGGAGAAGACTCTTGCCGTCGAAAAGGCGCAAGAGAAGTGAGTCGAGTGAGATCTAGAATCTTCAAACGACTTGGGAGTTGCAAGTTGCACGTAGACATGCGTTATCGATGATGAGAAGCCTTAGGAGCAAGCAATGTTACAATGACACGCCGTGATGGCACGCAATTCTCATGCCTACAGAGCGTCATCCGAAGGCGCCCTTGTTACCGTCCAAGTTGCTCTTACCTTTCCTTTGCTCTGCTTTCCCGCATAATCGGTACTCGAGCCCATTTCGTCTGGTGCCGGCCGTACTCCCGACTTAAAAGAGACACCAAAGGGACCCACCGCGGTCACCTAGAGGGCATGCTTGATATCGGTGCAATACCGCACACTTGCCGACCACACAGAGGTCTCAGATAGCCGGCCAAGAAGCCAGGAAGGCGGGAAGGAGAAGGTCCGAACCAAGGGATGGACATTGACCCAATGGCGTGGATGGAAATTGCACAATGACCTACGGGGTACGAGGTATGTACTCGAATAAGAACCACCACCGCAGCACGTTCAAGCCTGATCAGCTGACCGACTAACAGGCCGGAAACTCCATTTTCCTCCCATTTCCTCCCTTCCTTCGCTTCCCTTACACATACACCCCCGATCCACAAATTTACACCACAGTCCAGGTCCAATGCATCGTATCGCTGGCACCGCTCCCCTCCAACGTATTTGCCAAAGGGATGGAGGATGGGAAGTGCCTCCCATTTGAGTGGTGCATTGGGCCTAGATGGGGACCACCCGTGGTCCATAACCAAAAGACCCGCCGGTTAACAAACAGGTAGAGTTTCAGTTTTCTCCCGTGCCTGACCCTGGTATTCCATCATCAGTGAATGGTATCTAGGATCGAGTGCGGAGGTTTTTGTTTCTCTGCCCTGCGGCGTTGTGTTGGTCTGTGTCGTCGGTGTACAGTAGGTGGATCACGCGGTCTTGCTGGTTGATGGCCGCGAGGTGAGGTGAGGTGAGGTGAGGTAAGCTCAGGTCCGGCAGTGTATATTGTTTTGTTATCGTTGCCTGGCGAGATTGTCGGGGCTCGATCGATCACGCCTAACGCATGCATACATGCCAAGTACCTACCTACCTACCTACTGTACATTCACACAAGCATACCGTACAAGCTAGTCATCGAAATCAGAAACAGTGAACGGCGGCAGCGGTGGGAACATCCAGGTTGAATATCCTAAAGTATGTTGCCGGTATTTCTTCAGAGGGTTACAGCCGGCCAGACTCCCGCAGGCCGACCATGGAGCCATCCGGTCAAGGTTCTACCGCCAGTCTAAATAACAATGCCAGCTGACATGTAGTGGATGGAAATGAATGCAATGGCGTTGTTGTTGTCGAGGAACTTCAAGGGGGGAGAGACTGGCAGCATGCGATCAAGAAGCCTGGCTGCGACCTTCTCTATTCGTTCATCATATCGCCAAGTCTAGGATTGATTGATGTTGAATCAAAAGTGCCGGGCGATCAAATTCGAACGGTCAATTGTCGTGCCGCTTTAGGAAATGCAACATCTTCTTCATTCATGTCGGGATACGCTCGTATCAAAAGCAGCAAGAGGCGACCGAACCCCAATGCCAATGCCAACGCCAACACCAACACCAATAATGCGGAGAGCACCAAGAGTAATAAATCTGCGCCTCGGTAAGATGCAGCTTGGCCATTGATTGACATGGACACTCCCGCCGCTCTAGATCATGGCGGCCTGGAGTCCTTTCCCAGTCGGTACCCGACTCCATCCTCGACGGCACCAAGTGGTCTGGGTGATTGGATGATCAGCTAATCTGCCTCGGGCGACCACTTCTCACCTTCTCCCTGCAGTTGTCGGCTTCTGCATGACTGGTCGCTGGAAAAGCTTAGATTCCCTCTTCCCGTCCTCGTATCAGCCATTCCGCCAACGTCATAGGCCGAATCCAGAAGGCCGCTGGTCACTAGTAGCGATATCTCAAATAATAACAGCCAGATGCGGAGTCTGTTCTTCTTTGCCCACTTATGACAGTTTTGAGCTTCGACGATCGCGGTTGGACCCCGCGTATTCATTCGGCTGAACGGTGAGGTGAGTTCGTCCACTGCAGGGCAAATCGTTCCACTGGGTGGTGCCGTGGGTGCTTGTCTCTGGTGCTGGTATAGTAAATCCGAGTCAGTCAAGATGACCCTCCGAAAGGAGCTTTGTGTTCTCCAGGACGGACTATAAATCGATCGCACGGTCCAGGTTGAATGCTGGTGTGTCTTCCATTTTTCCTAGTTAAAATACTGCCAACATTAATCAATCCCGGAACATTATCACCTGTTGTCCTTCTGACCCAAGCCACATATATCAATCTACTTCAACCGCCATCATGCCCACCGGAAGCTGCTTCTGCGGGAACATCAAGGTGGAATACTCGGGCGATCCTGCCATGACGGTTAGTCGCGATCTATCAAATGCCCCCACGTACCTTTGACCTGACTGTGGGATAGGCCCTCTGCCATTGCGCAGACTGCCGCAAGATCTCTGGCGGCAACTACTCCAACAACATCGTCGTGCCGAGCGCCAATTTCAAGGTTACGCAGGGCACGCCCAAGGAGATCACAAAGACGGCGGACAGCGGCAAGTCCATCACCAGTTGCTTCTGCCCGGACTGCGGTAAGTGACGCGGACCCTGGGATAGGAGGAGAAAGCGGCTAGCCCACAAGGCCCATCAGCATCCGCTGCTTTGGTCAGACCCGACTGACAAGTATCGCGCGCGCTAGGAACCACGTTATTCAGGTACGGAGACTCGTTCGGCGGGATCGACGGGATGAGAATCATCAAGGCGGGCATCCTCGACGACGTCAACGTGCTCAACCAGACCAAGCCTGGCGCTGAGTTGTTTGCGCCGGAACGGGTCAAATGGGTAGCTCCGCTGGAAGGCGCCGGGCAAATCGACGCCATGCCCCCTTCGTGAGGGAGCCCGCATTAAGTGGCACAGTGTTGAAAGGGACAAAGCAGGAAGATCGTGTGGAATCAATGTATCTCAGAAGTCTGAATTACCGATGAATAGTAATCTCCTGATCGAACTCCTCCAGTTGCCACCAATACTTGATCAATGACAGACCCGGTAAGATGCTCATTCTCCATACAATCCATAGGGGTCAAGGTGGCTATATTGAATACCAAGTCGAAGCGGGGTTGGCCCTTTTCTGCAAGTCCTCCGGCGTCCGTCGGTCGGTAGGAGATACATCGTTCCTTCACAGACCAGTCCAGAAATTAGGTGTTCTGCGTCTTATAGATGCATGGGTATCGTCGTGATGCTTGGAAGCCGCTCTCAAAAACAAAATTTCCAACATCGAGAAGAAAAGCAGTTCCATCGTCGGAGCCGAAAAGTCAGGCCTCTTCAACACAAGCCGTGAACACCTTCTTCAGTGTGGGGCTTTCTGGAATGTCCGGCGTCCGCGAGGGACTGGCCAGTGGGCTGGGAGGGACGATTCGTTTCGGCAAAGCAGGGAGAGGCGGAGCAGGAGATGTCTTCCGCTGAGGACTCGACAAGGGGCTCGCCATCGCCAAACTGCGCGCACGAGCATGCAGTCTGCGCTCCTCCTCCCCATTCCAATCTTTGGTGAGTTCAGCTCGAACTCCACGACTCCATTGGCGCACGACATCTTCGAATGAAGACCAGGTTGCATTGGTCTCGACCTGGTTGGCCACAGCCATCACGTCCAGTTGGAGCTTGAGCTCCCATCTTAATTCAGCTGCTTTCAGCCAGAATCGAAGGTTGTCGGCACGTCGGTAAGGCTTAGCCACATCCTCATGAAAGCTTTTGATGAAGTCGAACTGCCTCTTGGATCGTTTGACGGCTGCATTGTGCATCTTCACGAGGTCTTTGCCGTCTGCGAGGTTGCGGAAGAATTCTGGCGTCTCCTCAGGCCTCTCGACTGGTGGACTCTGGCCCTTTCCCTCAAGCAAGAATTTGAGCAGATTGACATCCCTTTCCCGCTCTCGGCCGACCCATTTGGCGTCATCCATCCAGTGCCAGTCCTTTCTCTCAGTCCTCTCAGCCTCCTCCATCTTGGCTTCTCGATCGATCATCATGCCCACATCGGAGACCCAGACCAAGACCGCAAGTCTTTCATCCTCGCGAAAACCACCCGCGAAATTCCGTGAAGCACATTTCTTGAGGACGTCCAGTACGGAATAGAGGTCCTTGCGGAGTTCTTGGTCAGACCTGATTGAGTTCAATCTTTGGGGGTTGGGATGAAGTGTGTAGTAGAGCCGTGCGGCACGGATCGCCTGTGTTGTCGTGTCGAGAACATGCAATCCCTGTATCTCATAGAACCCTTGGGCTTGGTGCTCAGTCCCCTCGGTGCTTGACTGTTCGCACGATTCAACCGCCTGCAATGCATTCTCGAGTGCCTCGACCAGTTCCTTCTTCATGGTTTTCTGGTCCGGGGGCGGGGCGACGAATGTTGAGCGATGGCTATATGTGGATACCGTAGGTGGTAGCATCACGTCGGCACCGTCTTCCTGGGCGGCTTCCCACAAGGCTTGAGCCTCATCTTCAACGGGCGACTCGACCAGCTCCTGATCAACCGATAACGATGACTTGGGTATATCGTATTCTCCATTCTGTTTTTTCTTAGCCATCTGCCCTCCCTTGCCATCGAGTAAGCCCGTTCGAGCGAAATAGTATTGTAGGTGGGCAATGCTGCCGAGGCTCATGACGCTCTCGCGGTTCTTCGCCGAGTCAGCAAATGAGCCCCCTTGGGGACGCACATAGCCACGACGGCGAGAGCTTGAATTTGTCCGAGAAGAGGTTGAGCCATTTGAGTATGAGGAAAAACTCGATATCGAAGAGACTCCGGAAACCGATCGATTCGATAGAAAACTGGAGGTATCGGGCGTTGCAAGTAAATTTGGAGAAGCCGACGGCGATGGTGAGGGTTCGGTCGACAACGAGAGGTCAAGGTCTGCGCTCATGGCGGTCGTGCCGGCACTGACACGTGTCAGAGGCTTTGACAGGAGATGCAAGCAGCGTGACGACGCGGCACTCCTCTCGACCAAGAGCGTGGCAAGGAGAACGCGGCCAACGCGCTGACCGGCAGTCACACGGCGACTAATCGAGTGGGAGGGTAACGAGCGACGGAAGATGAGAACACAGATCGAGAAAGCACGACGGAAGAAAACAGTGTCTGCGAAGAACAATGAGTCAGTGTCAACTGAGGTAAAATTAGATGATTGCTAGTGCCCTTGAAAAGGGGAACATGGGGAGAAAGCGCAACCACCAGTTACCACAACTTTCATTCACAGTCAGCCTTTCCTTTCCTTTACTTATACACCAGGAATCAACACAAAGACCTGGCAACTAGCGACTCGGTATCTCCATGATCTACATGCAGTCCATGAGCTGAGCGAAGTCTCTAGTGCCGAGCTCTGGTCTCAACAACAGCATCGTGATGTGAAACGGGTCTATTGACGTCCCGACGTGATTTCCTGCGGGGACGCGCCTCAGAATCAAAGTTTCAGGATCGCCGAGCTGCAGTGACCCGAGGCCTGTCGTTGCCTCCCGCGAGGCCCAGCGTTAGCAGCGTTACGCCGTTCTGGCGTCATAGGCGTAGGCCCTTGAATTGCCCCGCATATTAAATCTGTACTCCGTACAGTCTGAACAATTTGGTCAAAGTAAGAAGAGGCAAACACCAAACCAACGCTCTCATGCCACTCAGTTGAAATCACGCGCCGCATCACTGGATAGATTTTCAAGACAAATCAACTGTACCCTTTACGAACCAGGCCACTTCGACATGTCCAAGCGAATCGCTTTCACCGTCCACGGCAAAGTGCAGGGCGTTTGTTTTCGGTAAGTACCTGTGGCCAAATTCGATCGTTCGAGTACTGAAGTCCTATAGTGATTTCGCCCAGAGTCAGGCTAGCAGCTACGGAGTCACTGGCTTTGTGTCCAACACTTCAGATGGAAAAGTTAGTGCCCAGTCGCTGAGAGGGAGTCACCACATTTCCTGCTGACACATCCCCTCAAGGTTGCGGGCGAAGCGCAAGGTGATGATGAATCACTAAAGAAACTAAAGGCGGATCTCAACGAAGGACCGAAAGCTGCTCAAGTCGTCAAGGTTGAGGTTAAAGACATTGCAACCAAGGATGGGGAAAAGTCCTTCAATGTGGCTTGAGATACGGACCGATTACATGCTGGGTACGTCCGCGGACAAAAGTGCGGACGCTGCCGTGCTACTCGTACCACAGTATTTTGTATGAATACGGTGGATTTGATTGGACGATAAAGTTGAGAAATCCGTCTAAATGTGTGCCTCTCAGCTCACACTGCATAGCCGGGCAACCCAAGCGAGGTGAGCGGCGTGCAGCGTGGAGATGGAAACAATAATTCAAAGCAAATGAACCTTCCATTGACGTTGACCAAATCTGTCGTGAATACGAATTACCTGTTCTGGGTAGTGCTGAAGGATGTGGAAACGTCGAGCGACAAACTGCTCAAAGAAGTCAACTCGGACTCAGAGGTAGCAATTGAGCGACTCCGAGTTCTCCCGATATCCTGCTCATCGACCTTTTGAGCACTGCCTTTTCACCTTCATAGCCTCGCGCTCTCAGCCCTCCAGCATCCGGTATTCGCCGTCCTTTTCATGTCAGGTGTGGCTGTGGAATTTGGTCTACTGTGAGGTCGCCGATATCCCAACTGTGCTCCGAGTAATTTTGTCGGGATTTGATGCGGCGATGGCAACCCTGTTCCGAGTCTCTTACTAAGGAGGAAACCTGTATGCAGCTCGTCTCTTGAAGTGACGATGTCTGTCCACTTACAGCTCGAGGTTCCTCGAACGGTCTGGGCTTGCCTGTGGCTTGACAAGTAAAGCTCAATAATAGCCAGTATGTGCCCGAATGGTGGTGGAATTACGAGCGTTAAAGGCTGAACTGACTCAGCAAGCGTAAAATGTGTGCAGTGGAAGCTAACCCGAAGGAGGGGACGGTTGTCGCGAGGACACGCCGGCAGCAGGGATCTGGCTCCGCGGTGGAGCGACCCAAGATGTGCTCGTAACCCTGTTCCTGGAATACGAGAACTACGTAGCAGAACCACGTTGCCTCCCACCACTCATCGTCGTTCATTCCGCACAACGCTCTGGATGCATGCGTACGAGTAACGCGGTGTTGCGAAACCTGGGTGCCTGAGGCTCGCGACTGGAAATTGTCGCATTTGGCGCATGACAAGCAGCGCTTTGACATGCTTTCTCCACGCTTGATCTTGGACCGTGTCGGATCCCGCCTGAATTGCTCGAGATATATCTATGCTTGAAGCTTCCTACCATGCTTCTGTCTCTGCTGACCAGATCACAGCGCATAAAGTCCTCAATCCAACCCATTTGACTGACCTACTAAACAACCAGTATCAGTGAGACACGCCACTCGGCTCACCATGACCTCCTCTAAGGCCCTATTCACACCCACACTCACTGCGAACCTGTCGAGAGCGGCCAGCAAGGGCTTGCTCTGCTCAACCGCCACTTCTACAGGCCTTCGGGCCTGTTGTGCAGGTCTCAGACCGTTCGATGCCCAGTCAAGACGGCACTTCTCAGTCTCTCGCAGGACACAGCTCGACTTCTTTCCGCCTCCTAAGAACCTCCCACACATCAAGTTGACGTATGTCCCACTTCCCACCCCATCAGCGACAAATTGCTGATAGTAGATAGTCCTCCGGCATGGCCACATCCCGAGGCCACGGAAGAGCAACTCAAGAGCATCGAGATTGCTCACCGAGAACCACGAGGATTCTCCGACCGAGTCGCATACAACATGGTCCGGTTTCTGCGGTGGGGCACCGACCTGGCCACAGGATATCGACATGACCCGGACAAGCCATATGTGATGAATGAGAGGAAGTGGTTGATTCGGTTCATTTTCCTCGAGACCGTTGCTGGTGTTCCGGGCATGGTTGCCGGCATGCTTCGGCACCTGCGGAGTCTGCGGTCGATGAAAAGGGACAATGGCTGGTAAGAGGATGGCTCAAGCTTGTTGATTACCGCAAGGGTACTGACATGGGCGTTCAGGATTGAAACAATGCTGGAGGACGCCTACAATGAGCGGATGCACCTGCTGACATTCCTCAGAATGGCCGAGCCGGGGTTGTTCATGAGACTCATGATTCTCGGAGCTCAGGGTGTTTTCTGCAACGGCTTCTTCGTTGCGTACCTCCTCTCACCAAAGACCTGCCACCGCTTTGTTGGATACCTGGAAGAGGAGGCAACCAAGACCTATACGTTCGCTATCGAAGATCTCGAATCGGGGAAATTGCCGGAATGGCAGAATTTGGAGGCCCCTGAGATTGCCGTCAAGTATTGGAACATGCCTGAAGGCCACCGCAGCATGAGAGACCTCCTATACTACATCCGAGCCGACGAAGCGAAGCATCGCGAGATTCATCACACGATGGGCAATCTCGATCAGGCCGAAGACCCGAACCCGTTCGCCTCTGAATACAAAGACCCCGCAAAGCCCCATCCCAGCAGAGGTATCGAGCACATGAAGGCTACGGGCTGGGAGAGGGAAGAAGTCATTTAAACCGAATTTGAATCTTCAGCGTTCTGCCCAGTTTTCTCTGACTTCTTTGGCTTTTATCGCTATCGCTGCACTCGAGATAGTGCTTGGGGGATATGTTTGGGATGGACGGCAGCTGTCTTCTGGGTGGTTGATCCAGCCGTTCCATTGGGGTGATGCAGGCCTGTCTAGAATTTGGCCAGCATACAAACATCGATCAGGATATGGTTCTATCACTCTGGATAACTTGATCTAGGCATTGAATCAGACATACTCCGTTCCAACACTGAGTCTTGATCCAGCGAGTTGTGCAGGAGTAGTACGAAGCACTTGGTTGTGACATGCAGGCACGCAGGACACGCCATTTTTTTGTTATGAGGGTTGATGTCAGAGTGCATCATCCAGGCACGAGTGTGATAGCAGCGTCGATCCTAGTGGCTGCAGCGTGCGCTAGCCCCAGTTTTAAGCTTCTGAGGCGCGTTGTGGACAGTTGGAGGTGAAACCGTGACGGCTAACCCTCGTTCGTCGCCTCGAGGTGTTGGTTAATCTCACACCCAAACAAATATCCGGCCGGCCTGGGCTAGCACTTGGACTTCGACTTGGGCTTGGGCTTGCACCGCCAACAACTTCCAGCGTCCAACCTCGTCCATTCATTTACTTGTTCACGCACGCCTAGTCAACTGCCACGCATTATTTTGGCCGTCCATACTGGGCTCCGATGACCGCCTGCGACTTTTTCGAGAGAATCGGCTTGTCACAAATCACACACGGTCGAGTCTAAAACCCCCGAGTCCAAGCTCATTCAACTGCTACAGTCAGCGATACCACCGCACATGAACAACGCTGCCACTGCAGTGCCCTGCTTTTGGGTCCTCTGGCATCGAATCTGGCAGACTAAGCAGGCTTGACTTGCTTCTAGCTGACTGTTATGACCTCTGTCTTCCGCCGCCCGTCAATGGTGGAAACCCCCAGTGATGTCGACCTACATCAACTCCTTGTCCCTTCGTTGTCGAACGATGTCTCCTCCCAGCACCAGGCGAATTCCACCTCTTCCGAACCCAGCAGTGACGCGGGTTCCTTTGTTATCCCCGACAGTCTTTCAAGGAGCGATTCCGTTTTCTCCTTTTCCCGACAATCATTCAACAGCCAGATCGCAAGTCTCACGGCAATAAATGTCCCCCAAGCCGAATCCCTGAGCGCTGCGGTTACGACTCTCCCGACCGCCCGAAAAGCCATCAAAGCCATCTATGGTGCAGCCGAACAAATACAGTCATGGATCAAGAAGGCGTTGAAGGTTCTGGAGAACCTCGATGCCGAGGACGATGTGGAATGGGCTGCGGCTGCCGGAAGACTGGGTCTGGATGACACGGATAAAACCGTGAACAAGTTCGGAAATCTCATCAACATGTATGTCCTTTCGATCGAGGAGTTGCAGGGTCGCCCCGATATTGGCGAAGCGAACCCGGAAGATCTGCAGGCAGTCGTGGAACAGATGGAGGTGACTCTGGGCGGCTGGGACGATGTCCGGAAGCAGCTCAAAAGAGTACACGAACAAGTCGAACTGGCTATGGAGTGGGAAGAGCTGTGGGCCAAAGTCCTCGCAGATGTAGGACAGGAGATGGACGCGCTCAGTGCTTTGGTGTTCGAAATGGAAGAGAAGCGGCATATGGCATATCAAACGCAGTCACATGCCGACTCCAATCAGAACATCGACTTGAACGAGCTCGAATCCTTCATCGATGAACCCTTGCAGAAGAAAAGCACCCCAAACTCCCGATTCAGCATACCCACCTTCGAATCCTCGCCCCTCGGCTCTCCCATCATCGAGAACGCTCTCGACGACTCGACCCTCCTAGCACTGTTCGCTCGCATGCAGCCCCTGAGAGCGTCGCTGGACTTCTTGCCCATGCGATTGTCTATGTTCCAGTCTCGAGCAGAAAAAATCTTCCCCATAGCATGCCGGGAGCTCGATGAGAAGCGGGCGCGGCTGGAGAAGAACTGGACAGAATTATCAAAGGAGGCCGATACACTTCGACGCGAACTGAGCGAGGATCGTTGGGTCATTGTCTTCCGCAACGCTGGCCGGCAAGCTCAGAAGATGTGCGATTCGGTGGAAAGGAGTATAGTTAAGGTCCAGGAAGCTATCCACGAAAACTACCCTGCAACCAATCCATCGGCTTTCGCAAAGAGGACGGAGAGCTTCGAGGCAAAGAGGCTGCATTATAGTCCCGCTATTCAGCGAGTGCTGGCCATCATCCAGAAAGGTCTGAAGGATCGCCTGACCGTTAATGGGGAGATTCTACGCTTGCATAAGGATCTATCTTCCAGAATGCGGGACCTGACTGATACCATGGAAGACCTGGAAAGCCTCTTGGAACCAGTCAGTTCGAGACAGAACTCGCATCTCCGAGAATCCATCTCGAGCATCATGTCGGGAGACCGCTCATTCGCGAGCACCTTCGCAAGCACGCCCGGCAGCTCTCCGCCTTCGTCGGTTGATCTACCGCCACAGCGAATGGAAAAGCCCGTGCCCAAATACGGCCTCAATGGGTACACAAAACAACGCACGCCGTCGACAAGCAGGCCGCCACCTCCGACTTCAGGCAACAGACGATCGTCCATGCTTCCACAGTCCAGACGCCCAACGACACCCATGTCGCATTCAAGCAGTGGTGCACTTCGACGTGGGGTTTCACCTCTACCTGGGCCACCGTCGGTGTACCGTCAAGGTGTATATACACCTCCCGTGGTGTCCGCACCCCGCCCAGAGCCTACCCCTCTCTCACACAAGCCACGATGGTCGGCTGTGGTCAAGTCGGATGACGGCACTCTGGCACCATCGTATCGATCCTCTTCTACCACCACGCCAAACACGGCACGGAGATATACTCCCCGGTCGATCTCATCAAATACTGCGCTACCGTTGAGGAGCCCGCTCAGTCGCGAAGCATCGGCGTCACCGTCGCCTATGCTTCCGACACTGGCAAAGCAAGACAATCAACAGTTCAGATCATTTGCTGAACGCGTGGCTGATCCCGTCCCAGCAAGGACTAGTAGCCTATTGGACCCCGTACCTTATCACCGGAATCGAAATGTCAGTGCTCCCGTGCCTGGCACCATCCGCTCACCGTCTTCCATTGTGGTAAATCGAGACAATAAGCCTACGATGAGTGGAGGATCAATCCCCAGGCCACCATCGAGCCTGAGCAGAAGTTATGGCTCCTCACAGGTACCCTTGCGGTCAATGTCCCACAATCCCATCATGGCGAGCCGACATGATAGCAGTCCAGGGAAGCGGTCGGACCGTTTGGACGAGGATGACCAGGGGAGCGAAAACGAGGATGACCGCCCCGTGGAGCCAAACTCTAGTCCGTTGTCAAAGCGTACGGTCACCCGACCCAGCAGTGTGCTCGCAATGAGTGGCAAGGGGAAACGGATGTCCCTACTGCCTATCCCGGTGGGCAATGGCAGGCAAAGTTCGCTAGGATCCAGAATTTCTTGAAGGGGAAGGTTGGAAAGGCTTCCCACAGCCGGCCTGATGAGAAGCCACGCACGTACTCACGCTCGTTTCTTGGGATATCGAAGGACCGCCAACACATCGAGCCATTTCTTTTCGTGTTTGTTAGCGTCCAAGCGTTGTTTTTGTGTCTAGCCTTCGTTCTAGGCTAGCGACCACATCCATCGTTGAAGCCCCCAGATCCCGTACCTAGCTAGCCTATAATACCAAGAATGCAAATACGCTTCTGCCCGTCAGCATCGAATTTGGCCGGTTCGGATCGTGGCGTTGGCAGGTGTGGCACGTTGCGAGGCTGTCCCAGGCCTGGCCCGTATCTGCACCAGCCGACCGAGGTGAATTTCACGCATTACAGAATGTGACTCTCCAGCCTTTGGGTCAAGGCCGACTCGACCTGGAGAGAGTGACAGCAGCATAAGAGGCGTGTCACCGTTACCTTTGATTTAATCAGCCTTGGTCTCGGCATCGACCTTCCGCAATGGGCAAGGCGGAGCTGGGCACCTCGTGTTCCCACCCGCGACTTTGTCTACTTTGCTCAACCTCATTTCAGACCAGACCACGACGTCCTTTTGAAGGCCATCATCTTCTTTCGACCCGCAATACCAAGACCACTGGTATCTATTTCGAGCTCTGCCAAGCTCTCCCAATCCCGTGAAGCCGCGAAGCTTTGTATTTACGGTGCGACCACGTTATGATGCAGGTCCCGAGATGTTGTAACTGCGGCCAGAGCGCATGCAAGTCGCGATTGGCTAGTAGCAGACATCAAGCTTCTGTGAGGTACTTCAGAGTGTCAATACGTGCGCCGAACCTCGTATTCCAGGTGAGGTAAAGTCGTTGATACCCCTTTACGGCTGCTATGTCTCAATCGTCCTTGGCTTCAGCCTTCGAGGGGTCGCCGTTGCTGGAATCTTTCGACTTGATAATGTTCAAGATTTCCATGTCTCTGAAGATGGCAAATCACATCCCCTTTCGATTGCCTCCAATATGTCTACGATGGCAGAAGCTTCCATTTATACAGGTCCCTGGGTAGACTGGTCCCGCGGCATCATCGTGGGGAGCACCATCACGCTATCCGCACGGTCGGCATCCGTTCTAACAGCCTTCCTCGCCCTCTTCGTCACCGTCGTTGGCTCCTGCCTATGGAGGATCCTCAGCTTCCTCGCCCATCAATGCTCCGCCAGTCCGGATGCTAAAGACGGCATCTATCACCAGCACCAACTCGTGTTCCGCAACACGGGTTCCCCTTTTGAGGCTACCAAATCCTTCACCGAGATCGCGTGGTATTGGCGGAAGAATGTGCGACGGCCATGGACAAGATCGCTGCCCCTCGCTCTCTTCGCGCTGGTGTTCCTGCTCGCCTTTGGAGCAGCCTCGATTCTCACATCTCTTGTTACCCGTGCGGCAGGCGCTCAACGCCTGATTGTCAGCGACGACTGTGGGTATTGGTCGTTCGACGAGTCGGCGACGCTGGAGCAGCGGACCCTCGCAATGCAGTACAAGGATCTCAACGATACGCTAGTGGCGGCAGAATATACGCGGCAATGCTATGATCAGAATACAAGCTTGAACAACAAACTTCGGTGTGGGATGTATACCACGCAATCTATCCCTTGGTCCTCGGGAGACACGGATTGTCCCTTTGGTCCTTCAATCTGCGCTGTGCCGCAGGCTTTCAAGATGGACACCGGGCTGATCGACTCGCATTCCGACCTTGGAATCAATGCTCCGCATGCTGGCCGAGTGGGTTTCCGCAAAGTCACTACCTGCTCGCCACTGACTGTAAAGGACGAGTTTGTTTCTGTCATCACTTCGACTGGGACCGACGGCCTCGGTGTCGAAGGCGATCGGATCAGGAAATACCATTATGGCGCGTACCTTGGCGCGGCCGTTGACACGAACACGACATACCTGTATAACCAGCATGCCTTTATCGATGGATTCGGCTATGAAGTGAAGTAAGTCCTGCGCCCAAGGCATGTCACTCAGAACCTCCACTAACACGTCATGCGGCTCAAGCTCCCTCCAAGTTCCCCTCGACACCACTAACTTCTTGCCCATTCCTGAACTCAACCCAACGGACGCAGACCTCACCATCATCTTCCTCGCGGCTAACGCGATCAAATACAACCATCCCACATCCGACCCGTTCTTCAGTGCAAATTTCTACGTCGACCTCGGCTCCTACATGGGAACCAACCTCTCGTATTTCTCCGCAGACGAATACGTCTCCGCCATGGCATGTGCAGATCAATACCAATACTGCAACGTCGAGGACAACACGCTATGTACCCCTCTGACGGGATACCAACAGGCCTGGACAGCCCTCGGCACCTCCAAGCTCAACCTCAACGACGTACAATACACGATCGCCTCCCGCATTGCGCTCTCCTCCCGCTCGCTCTCGACCTTTCATTCCATCTCTGGCCGTGGCGCGTCCGCCCTTCGCGCACAGGAAACAATCTACGACCGCGTCCAGCAGGTCCCACTGCCGGATCACCAATGGCAGATCGAACTTGCGAACTGGTTCGAGATCAGCCTGGCGAAGCTCCAGCACGCGGTCGTCGAATATGCAGCTCCTAGTGTCAAGACAGAGGACATGCCTGTCGGAGCGTACCTGCAGAGTCCCGTTGACATTGTGTCAAAGGCCATGTGCTCCAGCCAGAAAGTCGCCTTCACAGGCTCGACCATCAGCTTCAGCGTGCTCGGCGTGGCGATCATCCTGGCCGTAGGCGGGGCTATCGTTCTGCTGCATCTCGTATTGGAGCCCCTCGTGGGCTGGATGCAGCGCCGGTTCCGGTGGGGCGAGTTCCGTCGCGCCCGGTGGATCATGGACGACAAGTTCCAAGTCCAGCGTATGGCGTTCGAGGAGGCGGCAATGGGCGGCGAGTGGACGAATCTGGACGGCGGCGTCCCCGTCACGGCGCAGGGAGATGTCGTCTTCGGCGGCTTGGGCGGCGTGGACCTCGCGGCTCCGCGGCTGGGGAAGGAATGGGCAGACAAGAAGGACGAGGACGTCGCGAGTGAAGTCGCTACGCCGCCTGATTTTGAGGAATCGTCGACGGCTGACATGGTGCATGCCGCCGAAGGGTGTCCGGACCAGTCGACTCTGCGGTCTCAGTATCAAGCGTATCGGAAGCCGATGTACCAGGCATTGCCGGGGCAGGAGAGCTCGTTGGCGAGATGACGAGATGACGAGATGACGAGATGACGATTTGAAGTGTGACGGGTTTACATAGTGCTCACTGCTTAATATACATACATACCTATCTGATCTCGTACGGAATACGCAATCACAGTACCTAATCACTCGACGAACTAAGACAATCGGGTGGATCGATCTCGTGATCACGAGAACAGACAGGCACGCACGCAATCTAGGAGTTATAGAAACCCCCCCGTCCCTCCCCTCCGCCTCTCACATTCCATCTCTGCATCTTGCCCGGGCTGGCTAACCACCAGGCGAGTATCTTTTTGGGGCCCTACAAAGCAAGATCTAGCGTATAAACCTGGCCCGAGCGCAGAAACAGACAAAGCCCAGCTTCCGACTGCGATTTCCAGGGACATTTCCCTACTGACGTACCCGCCGTGTACGAGGTACATATGTACCTGAGTAGATGACCCTGCGTCTGAGCAGGTGCTGTATCGGCCTCCCAAGCGCATTAATAAGGCCAGACCATTCGGGGACTGGGTCGTGCAGGCACGGACACGGCGCACAGAGTAGCGCAGCGCGGCACGGCATGGCACCCACGGCAGAAACGGTACGACAGGACACGGGTACACCAGGCAGGACATGGCACAATGCGGCATGGTGATGGCTAGCCACGGCTACAGTAATACATACGATGCCTTTGAGGGGACGGAGGACAGACGACTCGACTCGACCCGACTCGACCCGACTCGACCGAGCGAACGGGACGCGTTGATCCTCTACGATATTCCGGACAACATGGGGATGTGGCTGTGGATGTGGTTCACTTCCGTCGCCACCTATGTACTCACCTGAGCAGATGAGCAGATGAGCGGATGAGCAGAAGAACGTACATTCAGATTGAGTTGTATTGTTATATCGTCATATCGTCTCGGTCCCACACCATTGCGCAATAAACAGGGCAATGGCGATCGTCACCCTCTTGACGCTCTCGACGCTGACCCATTCGTCAAACCCGTGGATGTCGCCGCTGATGGGCCCGTAGACCAACGCGGGGATCTTGTCGTAGATACTGTGGACGCGCGCGTCCAGGTATGCCGTCGAGGTCTGATACCCCAAGTCCTCGCCCGTCGCGTGCTTGTGCGCCGTGCGCAGCACACTCTCGGCGTCGCTGCCCGGCTCGAGCACGTAGCCCTCGGCGTAGAAGCCGTTCCACGTCACCTTGGGCGGGTGCTCGCTGAGGTAAGGGTCCGCGCGGGCAAAGTCGGCGATCTTCTTCTCGATTTCCCGGGCGGCGGACTCGGCGCTCACGCCGGGCACGATGGCCATGCGGCAGTCGATGCGGCACCACGCCGGGACGGAGCTCTGCCAGTCGCCGCCGTTCACCATGGCGACGTTCATGTCTGTCGCAAGGAAAATGTCTAGATTAGCGTGTTCGGGTACGTGCAGTGCGTCTACTGTAGGGTAGAATGGCTGGGGGGCGACAAAAAGGGCCACAGGCAAAACTCACTTAGGGGATGTTTTTCTTGTTCAAAGTGCTTCGCATTGACGTGCCGCTCATTCCACTCGGCTTCCAACTCGCGCAACGGCTCCACGAGCTTCCAGCACGCGTCGATGGCGTTCGTCCCCGTGCTCATGACGCGGACGTGGACGGGCCTGCCGCGCACCTCGACCTGGAACCACAACACCCCGACGTTCGCGCGCACCAGCTTCTCCTGCACGGGCTCGGGGATCAGCACCGCGTCGGCCTTGTAGCCTTTCAGGTGGGTCATCAGCGTGCCGTTGCCGGTCGACTCCTCTTCCGGCACGGACTGCAGGATGACCTCGGAGGCGGGCTGCAGACCGATGCGTCGCAATGCGTCCAGCGCCCACAGGTACGAGGCATGGCCGCTCCTCATGTCCCCAGCCCCTCTGCCGTAGAGCTTGTCGCCCACGATTTTCGCACTGTACGGGTCGCCGTCCCACATGTCGACGGGGCCCAGCGGCACCACATCGATATGCCCGTTGAGGATGAGGCTCTTGCCCTCGGCGTGCTGGGATTTTGGCTTGTGCGTGCCTACAACGCAGGGGGCGCGCGAGTGGGTCGCGCTGAACTTGCCACCACCGACATGGTTGCTGATGGCATCCTCGTCCATGTCAAACTTAACGGGATCATAGCCCCGGTCCGCGAACTGCTGGAAGACAAAGTTCTGGACCTCGGCCTCCTCGCCGCGCTGGCCGCCATATCGGATGAGTTTCTGGGTATAAGCGAGCTGGTCGTCAAAGCCGTCGGACACGGACTTTGTGATTGCCGCGACGAGGTCGTCGGGAAGAGCAGGCATGGCGGCGGTGTGCTCGATCGAGAAAGTATTGCTTGTGTGTCTGTCCAAGCTGTCTACAGAGGTTGGTCGTGTCGACATTGCCTTTCGTCGACATTCATATAATCGATCTCCGCACGGACATCTCCATGGTGAACCACGCACTCTCGGCGATCCGATGCTCGGGATCAAACTCTGCGCTTTTTCATTTCATTGGTTGTAGGACGCGGCCAGGCAACAGCAGAGTCGACTGGGCCTCGCTTGCCTGTTCAAGAGACATGCTCCCTCACCAAGCCAAAGAGAGCGTAGGTGAGAGGAACCGGGCCTGTTTGGCCCCGTATGGCGGGGTGCCTGTCGGGAACGGAGCAGGCAGAAGCGGGGGCGGTGCGCTGGGACCAAAGATACTTCAAGCGAAGGAATTCGTCAAGTAAGAGGTGGTACTGATCGCAACTCCCTCAACTCGAAAGGCCGTCAGTCTGTCGGCCGCCGACCTGTCTGCTCTGGACGTGAAACTCGGTCTCGAGGCCTCGACGAACAAAGGCGAAAGGTGACCCCGACTTGTGCGCTTCGGCCATCTTGATCATTCTGTAAGACGGGGTCACCAGATCAGACAACAGACCTGAAAGACGTACTGCGCGCTTCCTTTGCTCGAAGTGTCACCCCGAGGACACAAATCCAAGCAACAGCGCAGGCAAGCATGGCAACTACCTCGTCTTCACAGGCGTCCAGACAGGATCCGACATTTCGAAACTATGATTCTGCTTCGGCACAGAGGTACCTCAAGCATCGTCCTGGCTACCCAGACAAGCTCATCGATCTCGTCATATCCCACCACACGTCTTCAGGTGGGGACCTGAACTTGGTCCTTGACGTGGGTTGCGGTCCAGGCACCGCAACGAGGTTACTCGCGCCACATTTTCAGCATGCCATCGGGGCGGATCCTGGCCAGAGCATGATCGAAGCCGCGAGGACGGTCGCGAGCTCAACGAAATCGGGGGAACCTATCACATACGAGGTCTCTTCAGCCGAATCCTTGAGCGACTTGTCGGCGCTGAAAAAGTTCTCGACGGACGGGTCGAGCTCTGTGGATCTCGTCACGGCCGCCACGGCAGCGCACTGGTTCGACATGCCCCGTTTCTGGGGCGAGGCGGCCAAGATACTAAAGCCTGGTGGGAGCGTCATCGTATGGTGCTTTGCAGGTTATAACATTGACCCCAATACTACTCCTAACGGGAACAAGCTGAGGGAGTTCTTCAAGAAGATGGAAGAGGAGATTCTCGCTCCCTATGAACTACCGGGAAACAGGATCGTTCGGGAGATGTACATCAATCTAGGCATGCCCTGGGAATGTATCGATCGTCTTGGCGCAAACGACCAGAGCTTGAAAAGGCTCCTCGACGAGTTTGACGAGAAAGAGTTTGTCAGGCTGGAATTCAACAAAGAAGGAAATTTGGCGCCAGGGGAATCGTTTTTTACCGGAACTATGCGTACGGACTTCAATCAAGCCAAGGCTTTGATGGGAACCGCCAGCCCCGTCACTCGCTGGCGAGAAGCAAATAGGGAGAAGGTAGAAAGTGGGGAAGTTGAGGACGTGATGGACACCTTCGTCAGACGCGCTAAGGAGATCATGGAGGAAGTGCCAGAAGGCAAGGGCAGGGATTGGATTGATAGCGGAAGCGCGCTGGTCGTGTTGGTGGTGAAGAAGAGGAAGTAGAGCGTCAAGGCCGAAGGGAGGAAGTAATTAGAGCATCGAGACCAGAGTGGGAAAGTGGTGAGATGCACACGGGTAGTATCGACATGTGCTGCTGGGTGGTGGATGCCAGGAATGAAACTCGCCAATAGCTCAATTAATAGCACCCGTCCGCAAGCTGAAATGGTGCGAAAAACAAAACTGAACTCGAACACTGCAATGAACTGTCTGACTGTATATTTGCCAGCCTTGCCGCCAAGACTTTCGCTTGGCCGACGCAAGGCTGCGGTGGTTTTCGCAGACTTTCTTGATCCCAGCAGCGTACGGAGTATGCACAGCACAATTGCAAACACCCGGCGGCCATTCTCTCACCGATTCACTATCTGCACCAGGCCCGACCCTTGCACCACGTCCCTGCATCTTCCAGCAGATCGGCCAACCGTCCCGACCTTTGCGCACAGCGGCGCGACTGACCGCCCACTTGTGCCAAAATGAAGCTCGTCAGGTACGTTAGAGACCACGGCTGGCTGGCTATTGGGATCCCCCTTGCTGAGCAAAAATGTGGCTGCAGTTCCTCCCTAATCTGTTCCGCCCGCGAAAAAGTTTCTCTCGTGCTGACATTTGTCTGGTAGGTTTCTCATGAAATGCGCGAACGAATCCGTCACGATTGAGCTCAAGAATGGGACCATAGTTTCCGGCACCATCACCTCGGTGTCTCCTCAGATGAACACGGCGCTGCGAGCAGTCAAGATGACGACGAGAAACCGCACGAATCCCAGTGCGCCGAGCGAGACCATCAGCCTGGACACCATCAACATCCGCGGTTCGACCATCAGATACTACATCCTGCCTGACTCGCTACCTTTGGATACACTACTGATAGATGATCAGCCGAAGCCCAAGAACAAGGCACGCAAGGAGGGCGATTCGCGGGGGCGAGGAGGCCGAGGCGGGCCTAGAGGTCGTGGAAGAGGCGGAGGGCGCGGCCGTGGTAGAGGCAGAGGCTTCTAAGTTGAAACCAACTAGTGGGATGGAGATTGGGAGCTGCACCCACACAGCCAGAACCATATCGGGACGGGACGAGGCACTCCTACCGCGGGTCGACAAAATGGAAATGGGCCCCGTTACAAGCTCGAGGCACACGAGCATGCCGGAATACCAGCGATGCAAGGGACGATGAGCCTTCATGCGATTCAATATCGACGTTGTCCGCTGCCTACCGGGAAAAAGAGGTTATCAGCATGAGCTCCAAACGATAGGCTGTCTGCCGAGGCAGTTTAAGTCGCTGTTACAGTCTCAGCAACCTCGACTGATTCAGAACAGCACAGCTACGTTATATTTTGGGACAAAAGCATTGTATTGAAAGTGGCCGGAGAAATTGAAAGAAAGGGGACCATGATTCGGAGGCACGGGTCCTCTTGTCTACGGCAGCTAGGAAGGTTGTCTCCAGGCGACGGTGTGAAATCGAATGAACTTCGGCAGCTTGCTTTGCATCTTCAGAGTGGCCCCTGAAGCATTACTTTGCTAGGCCAAGTTCTTCTGCCATGCTCACTCCATGACGCTCGTCGTAGAAAGGTCTCAACGCAATTGATGATTTGCCCTTCGCAGTAGCTTGAGGTTGAAGTCGAGCGAGGCGTGGATTTGCTGTAGCACAGTGACATGTGGCGCTGCGAGCGACGATGTCCACCCGTGATATCCTACAGCATGTTGCACCCCTATTCATTTTACAGCGTACCTGAGTCTGTAAAGGTGTCGAGGACAAGGCTCGAAGTACATGAACGAGCTGCGGAAACGGAAATGCATCAACAGGCTTCGGCTGCATATGGTCTGCCACCGAGGTGAGCCCCATTGCCTAAACTCAGGCATGGCAGTTGGCGCATGTCGACATTTTGTTCGAAGCCACATGCTTGACGTCTGTTCGCTGGAGTTGAGCCTCTGTGCACCGTTGAGAAATTGCCAACGTTACACCACTGGCAACTGTTGTCATAACTCCCGCTCTGAGGAATATCAGATACTGGTACCAGCGTTTCGAAGGGGACCTGGGAGGGAGGAGGAGATCACGATGCTTCGGAGAGGCAAATACGAGGCTGTGCTTCTAGGCGTTGCACCCCCCCTCCCCCCCGGGTGCCTTTTGCCTGTGGCTGCGCTGTGCAGTAAGGTACGATGTGGAGGGTTTGCATATGTAACCGCCAAGATCTCATCCACGTGAGAACTTACCTGCTAGTACTGCGTACGTCAGTAGAGTCTGAAGGTAGGAATGAGAAAGTCAACTACCTTCCACTTCCTCTCCGAATTTGACATGCTGACATTGCGGGAATCCAGCCATTTAAGGACCTCAGCCTGATAGACAAGACTTGACGCGCACCATAAGACGCAGACTTTTGTGCTACTTCCGCGACGCCGGCCGCGGTGTGCAGTGAGAAAATGTGCCCGACAAAGAAGACTCCGGACCGCATGGAAAAAGACTTGCAGACTGGCGGGACATGAACAGTATAGCGTTCAATTTGTTTTACATTTGCCCAAGAAGCTGGACTCGAGAACATTGGGACTTATGTGCTTCTGCCTTTTCGAGAAAAGGCCGTACAGTACCGCTCAATTCGGGGTTGAAGGATTGAAATGCTGCTTCCGTTCTTGCTCCCCTTGCATGTAGGTCCAGCAGCTCCTCCAGCCTTTCATCAATGCTCATTTTTTCATCTGGCCCATCTTGTTCTCCAGTTCCGTCACGTAGGAGTGGATCCGTTGCACGGATGCCTGTAGTGCCTGTTATTGGTGTATCAGCGTTGACCTTCTACGACGAAGCTGTAAGTGGTATTCGAGGGAGAGGAGTTGGCGGTATCCCGTGTGGAGCGTCTGTTGCAACGGTGGCTGGTCGAGCTCTATGTGTTTCGAGGAAGAGAGGAATCGATAACGTACATAGATGTCTTCGGTCAATAGCTCATTAGAAACCTTGTATTCCTCGAGAATGTAATAGTAGACGGATGCGCCTGCCAGCGTCGAGCCGAGCAGGAATCCAAACAGCCTGGGAAGCGCAGATTGTCAGCCGTTCTATTCTTGCTGGTGACGACAGCTCGAGCTTGTCCGGAGCTCTGCAGTCTGCCATGGTCTCATTCTGCGGGGTCGACAAAGCTCACCCTCCTCTGAAAGCTCCCACTGGTCTCTTCACAGGTACAGCTGCAGCCGTGGCAGCTTCCTGGAACTGTCTGCTCGTTGACCGGAAAGACCGTGATTGGAATTGAGGGAGAGCTCTGAATGATCGGGAAGCGGAGGAGAGGCGCGGGACGAAGGCGCGTGAAGCCATGGCTTCGGAGGTTCGCGTGTGAGTTGTGCAGCGGAAGAAGAGTTTTCGGTGATGCGTCTGGGACGAATATCAAGAAAAGTCGAGCTTGTGAGGTTCGTATGGCAAGATCACGAGAACATGTGGAAGCGTCGTTCGGGTGATCGCGATGCAGCATACACAGTACGGAGCACGGACGGGGCCGGAGGGCATCTTCTCCACATGCGGGCGCCATAGGCACCACGGGGTCGATGGGCGCCACTCACTCTTAGGTAACCAGAGGCCAGTGGCGCCTCGGCCCCTGGGGCACTGCCGGGGCCTGACGGCAGAGGACTCTTGGGGCCGAGGGGCACTGCGTTCACTCACTATTGCCGCCACTCACTCACCACTTAGGCAAACACATGACAAAAGGGCCAGAACTCATCTACGGGCGTGCGGAACAGGACAATATATTCCTCGATGGCTTATTCTGCGTGATGCTAGTCTAGAAACAAATCTGCCAGCAGGTCCTTCCGGCACGCCTCGAGGTCTGCTGCTTGAAGGCTGTATGTATCTTCAAAAGCGTGGATGCTCAACTGCCGGAAGAAAGGCCGCAACAGCGTCTGTGGATCTTCTGCGGTCCTCGTCATGTCTGTACACAGCCACGGTTTCCTGGCCTCTCTCTCAGGGGCCGTCGGCAGCTCAATGTCGCGGCTGCCCTTGTTCACCATTTGATCCGAAATCGCCGTGGACTTGAAGTCCTGAGGCGGATAAACCGCGTCGACCGTGTCCGTCACAAACAGCCATTCGTGCAACTGGAACTCTTCAGGCTTCAAGAGAAGGAGCAGATCCAGTAGTTTTGCTCCTTGTAGTTGCGAAAAGCTTGTATAGGTCGGTTCGCCCGTTTGTTGCATGCTTGTAAACAGGTCTCGAAGCTCGACATCGACGATCGGCCATATGGATACGAGATGTGTTTGGGTGAACGTCAGGGTTATCGCCCGGAGGACCAGATAGATGTCTCCGCGTGTGCTAGAGGACGGAGAGGACGACGACGTCGCCGTTAATAGCTCTTCGACTCGGCGGACGATCTGGATCAAATCTGGCACAAAAGCATCCACATCGGCGGCCAACAGCAGCAGAGCTAATCGCCGCAGGTTCAGCTGTGTCTTCCTGTCAGCTTCCGTTCGAGCGGCATTGGCTCCCACCCCGAACATAATCCCTGCTGTGGTTGGGGGGTTCAACCTAGACACGAGCTCTGGCATCAAGCTCTTATCCGTCAACCAGAGCTGTTTCAAGACGGGCAGCCAACCCGCCTCCGCCAGGGTCGGCGGTGACTGGAAGAATTTGTTGTCATTCATCGCATCGGAGACGTCTTTCCTCCATATCTTGTTGTTCGGCTGGGACTTGGCCAGGAGGAGGACAAGTTGTAAGAGGTTGATACTGACTGTCTGCGGAAACTGTTTTGATCGCAGAGCCGGACCAACGACATGGGTTGCGATTCCCGACAGGTTCGCCGACAGCCTGTCATGATCTCCAAGGGCATTGCTGATGGTCGGGAGCGCCTCGCAAAGGACCTGGATAGCACTGCCAGCTTCCAACGGGTTTCTTGGACGCATATCTGTCATTGCTTTGGTACTTATATGCTCCGGGATGGCCTGAGACGTCGAGTCGAGCCCCGCGGGACGGATTGTGAAGATGGCCGTGAACAACCTGGCACATAGGTCACCTAATTCTCGTCGCATCTTCAACACCTCTCCGAAATTGGTATTCTCCATCTTCTGGCATAGGACCGCCACGAATTCTAAGAGCTTCAGCAGAATCTGGCGGTGTGGCATGGGATTTGCAAGGACCTCCCGCAAGAACGCCGTGCAGTCTGTCCAAATCTCCTCTAGCAAGTCATCCTCGAGGGCGGATGTGTATGCTATCAGGAACGCCATCAGCTCCAGCGCACTGACGTCCACCGACAAGCTTGACTTCTGAGACTGATCCAGAGCCGAAGGATTCGTACGATTGTAAACAGCATTAAAGGTGGCAGGCATCATGAACTTAGGCCGTGCTCCATCGAGACTTTGCATGAGATTCAAGGTGACGTCCTGTTCAGAGTCTCTTCGTGTAGCATCAACCCACATCCCCATGAGGGTCTCCAGGCATTCTTGTGGTTCGGCGTCCGTCAAATGCTCCAGGATCCGGCGAGTTCGCGTCCGTAACCGTGAAGAGATGTATGCAAATGACTTGCCAACAGAAGCGCTGTTCAGCGTCCTCTTCGATATTCGCCAAACCCAGATCTGGCCACAGAGTCTGATTGTATCCTGCATACAGAGGATCACCGTCAATCGGTTGTTCGCAATCGATCGCAACTGCGTCTTCTCCGCACCGCTAAGATTGGATTCGTCGGCTCCGGAGACCTGGTCTACCAGATGTGTATGCGCCCTGGCTAGGACGTACTCAAGTCCTGCAAGTAGATTGTTGATCGACCTTTCGGGGTGCTTTGCTGCCGCGGTAGCCTTAGCCCCGTTGATTTGGGCCGCGGCCTCAGGTCTGTCGTAAAGTCGTCGCATTAGCGCGAAGTAGTCCTTGATCCGGTCGCAGAAACAAGCTGTCAGTCTGAGCAAGTTTGCAAAGAGATTCTGGGTCGAGTACAACGGGATGGTATTGCACAGAAGTGTAACCCATTTGTCGATGGTCGAGTCGATACCGCTAGACGAAATGCCAGAGATCAGGACCTGGATGAGGTCGCCTGGTGGACTGCCAATGTTCGGTTTCGAGAATATAATCTGCAACACGTCCAGTATCTCTTCCTGGGCCGGGCTATCCTGCACTACCTGAGACAACAGTTGCATCAAAAGACGGATCAAGGTGTGCTCTCCACGTATTTCGACTTCTTCTAAGATCAGGCATAGGATAGAGAGAGTCGTTGTGAAGATCTCTTGTGCGGAATGCCCCGAGGAAATATATTCTGTGCAGATATCCAGCACCAGGCCAGAAAAGCCTGCCTCTCCGAAAAATTCATTTCGCTGAGCAGCGGATTGTTTTGCCAGAGCCACGACCTTTCGGAGTCTGTGCAGACCGAGCAGGGAAGTCTGGCTGTCCAAAGAACGGGATGACTCTGCATATATGATTCTGAAGATGGGCCCGATTGAAGGTAGGTTGTTTATCCACATTCGTCGCCGATCACCGGCTTGAGAAGCGTCGACACTGTCGATAATGGCTAGGACTGGTTGCCGTAGCGTAGCCCAGGGGACCTCATCCTCTTGAATACCTTCCGCCGACGAGAAGAGTTCGATAGTGATGTCGGGAAAACGAGTATGCGCCCATAGACTAGAAAATCGCGCCATTCGATCTTCTAACCGTGCTGCAGAAATATCGTCTTCGCACATGAGCTCCGCAATCTTGCTATCCACAAGCAGCAAATCGTGGGATAGCATCCGAAGGTTCCATATCTGCTCCACAGCTTCTACATGGAACTGGGGTGTAGACGGCAGAAGCAGCCTCCACAGCTGAGAGACGAGCTCTGGGATGAGCTGTAGTAAATGTGTCTCGGTCAAAGTCTCCTCGCTAGGGCCAAAGGCTTGGAGCGTGTCCACTATTCTCGCTACCGTCTTGGTTGACTCGTACTTGGGGCGTGAGCCATGCCGTGAAGCCTTGAGTAGATGATGTAGTCGCTCGCCAAATCCGAGCTCGCGCAGTGACTCGAAACTGCTAGTCCTGGACATGGCTTTGGTAAAACTATTTGTCAGAGGCCCAAGCAAGTCTTGGTCGTTTGGATGGCTCAGGCACTCTAAGATAATTATCGCGATGTTGCGAAGTAAAATCTCAGCAGCCATGGCCGGCGGGATCGTCTCGAAAATTGCCTTCTTGACGTATGAAGAATGCTCATATAAGCCCTTGAGTCTTGGGAGCCAACCCGCCTTTTCAATGCTTCCAGACGAGGGTGCAGGGTTGCTGGCAGTATGGGGAGGTAACAAGCTTGTAAGTACCTCTAGCAGTTTCGCTATGCGCAGTGACTGGGCTGGGTCTCGTCTCAGGAGCTCGGAATGTTCTTCTCGAAGTAGGGTTTCTGAAATCGCTAAACAGAACATGGGCAAGTGTATGGTGGTCATTTCTTCTTCTTGGAGGTTGAAATTCGCCAAAATGAACTCAATGAGCTCCAAGTCACCCTGCACGAGAAGCCGAAATAGCTGGCTAGTGATCAGCTGAGGCTCGATGGCAGCAAAGAAGACATTAGCACTCCGGTAGACCTCGTCAAAAGAGGACTGTGAAGGGGCAGTCGCCTGATATCTCTGCAAGTCCTGCATTGCCGGGACAAACAAGGCTTCCACAGGCAGCTTTCCGATGACCCAGCGATCCATCAACGAGAGCATAATGCGGAAGGGCCGGGCCCTGTCGACCGGGGACAAGGTCACTATACGCAGCATTCTGTCGAGGCTCCGAATGACCGAATTGAGCCCGAAGGTGGCAAAGTAATCATGCCCCGAGGCCCTCGAATATGATTTGAGCTGTGTAGGTGTGGTAGGTTCGGCCGTGGGTTGTGCTACCACGTCTGTTGAGCCTTCTCGCTTATCTTCCTTACCAAGGAACCAAGTCCACAGTCGACGATTGAGACTCATGTCTCTCCGCAAGACTACTGACATGGCAGCGGCGACAAGGATGTCCAAATCATTAGGCGAGACAAGGGTCTGAAGCACCGGTGCATGAAGGGGCAGATGTGAGACCAGAAGGTCGAGAAAGCCCCGTTGCACCAAGGGCTGCTCGTCTTGGAGTCCCGTGGCGAAGCAGCGAACGAGTAAACCAGGTTCAGGAGTCGTCACAGCCCAAATTGCCTCATGCATCGCCTCCTGTCGCCCACTGCTGACGTCGCCATCCGACGATGGGCTCGCAGCTGAACCTAAGCTGGGAAGTTCCCGGGTCAAGTAGACCAAGGCGCCTGGTCGCTTCGACGTACTTGTGGTGGAGGCCAGGAACAGGCTCTGCCAGAAGAATTCTTCAGTTCCATCTTCGGCAAAGCTCTGTCGTACGCGGTTGATGGTGCTCAGGGTTCGGTCAAAATCTTCGCTATGCTCCTCCTCGATCCCTGGCAGCAGAGACAAGATGATGGCCCTTAGTGCCGGCCGCAATGCACGACTGGAGAGCTTGAGGAGGTGATCATCGTAAAGCGAGAGGAACAAGGGTCTCGTGGTCAAAGCAGCAAACGTAAGGGTATGCAATACTCCAGGAAGCCAGATTGGCAGGTCCTGAGACAGTCGCTCGGTCCCCAGCAGAGTGAAGACCAAACTGTAGACTTCCAGCGCCTTCTGATGCACGCCCGACGGCAAGGACGGCTTCAGGCATAGCGCAAGGTATTTGGCGAGAGTTGGCTTGAATGGGACTTCGGCATCAGTGGGAGAAGCCTGCAGCGCCTTCGCTAGGCGGCTGAGGAATGCAATGTAGTCAGCCCACTCATTGGTGGCATCCCACAGGCCTAGTGCTCTTTCGACACCGGCGTTATAGCGACGTACGGCCTTTGCGTCGGTCATCGCACGACGGTTTGCGGGATGTGTAGGCTTTTGACCGCTGACATGGCCCGTCAAGGGATCATGAGAATCAATTGGGTGACCACCAAGACTTTCGCCTGATATTCGCAACCGAGCGGTGAACAACGGTGCTACCGGAGAGTACGGCTCATGATTGCTTTTGACCTCAGCGCGCTTTCAGTCTTCTCAAGACGTTATGCTAAGCGGGGATGAAGGTCGCCGTAGTGTACAAGCACCAAGACACCAGCCAGGACACGGTGGTTCTCCTCGGGCCAAACAGAGGCGACGCAGCCGCCAAGCCAATATGAGAAGCCGTTTTGGGCTCGGGCTGAGGCCGCTTTACGCTCGTGGTGGCTTCCACGGTAAGGGAGATGGGATGCGTGTATTGCGTAGTGATCAAGGACTGATCAATTTGGTGCTCGGGACACACCGCGAACATTCGCAAGACTCATTCGCGTGCTGTGGTGGCTATATTACACCTTGTGCAGGGGAGTATCAGAGGTCATTCCATTCATCGCTGCTCCGTACGGAGTACAACTCATCTAAGTGAGTGGGCCTAAAAGCGGCACTTTATGGACGAGTCCCACGTGATTAAACACCAAGGTCCACTCATCTTATCGTGCCGTGCCATCATGGAGGAAAGCTCCGTTCACCTATCCAAGCGATGCCACGGCTGCTTCATCGCGACCATGCACGCGACGTCCAGCGATAGGAACCTGGGAAAGAGCGCCTATGATGCAGGCTAATTCCCTATCATCCGCCCCTGGACAGCATCACATCTGTCCAGAACGGACCCTCATCGACTGAGTCAAGACACCGCCTGCCGTATCATCGCCGTCACAATGGACACTACAGCGGGCCCCGATCGAAGGTCCATGTCGTCGGCCTCTGAGACCGAACGCCCACCACTTCCTCCTCGACCCAGCGGGCTGAGTTTCATGCACGAGCGTCCATCGACCAGCCATGCTTCTCGTCCGCCTACATGGGGTCTCATTGCGGGGGCTACAACGGCCTTGTCCATGACAGATGTCAATGCCTACAACAGGCCCGACGGATCGAAAGAGTTACGCATGACACCTTCGCGCGCGCCCTCCAGCCCGTCCATTCGCCCTGTCACAAGCACCAGGACGAGTGAAGCCGGAGAAGACAACTCGAGCGTCAGGAGCTTTGCACAATTCGGTCGCCCGACGCAAGAAGTGGAGAGTATATTTGACGGAGATCTACATGAAGGACAGCACCTCTCTGCGTCGGTCGGCAGCTCCAAGGGATTGTTCGAGGCCGACTCCGATGATGGCATTCATGACGAAGGCGACGTCGACTTCGGCAAGGAATTCGACGAAGTGGACGATAACGTCGTCGGCGAAGACGTGGCACAGAGCCTCTGGAAATCCAAGCGCAAACATTTCATTATCCTCTCCGCTGCCGGTAAGCCGATATACACACGGCACGGCTCCGACGCAGTAATTTCAAGCTATGTGGGCATTATCCAGACCATCATTTCTTCCTACTCCGAAGCGGATGACGAGCTCAGAAGCTTCCAAGCGGACGGCGTTCTGTTCGTTATCCTGTCGCGGACGAACCTGTTCCTCGTGGGAATCACGAGTCTCCCGGAAAGCGAGGCCCAAGTACGGGTCCAGCTCGAAGCTCTATACATGCAGATTTTGTCCACGTTGACACTACCGACCTTGACGCACATCTTCTCCGTGCGCCCCTCCAGCGACCTTAGACGTCCCTTGCAAGGCACCGAAGTCCTGTTATCGTCGCTAGCAGACAGCTTCACGCGAGGCTCGCCTTCCACGCTACTTTCCGCCCTCGAGTGCCTGAAGATCCGCAAGTCCCACCGCAACATCATCAACAGCACGATGATCAAAGCCCGCGTGGACGATCTGCTGTACGGTCTCGTGGTCGCGGGTGGCCGACTCGTCAGCGTGATCCGCCCCAAGAAGCACTCCCTCCACCCGAGCGACCTGCAACTGATCTTCAACATGCTCTTCGAAGCCGAGGGCGTCAAAGCCGGCGGCGGCGATTCGTGGATCCCCGTGTGCCTCCCCGGCTTCAACAACACAGGCTACCTCTACATGTACGTCAGCTTCCTGGACACGGGCGGCGAGAACGTGCGCGAAATGGCCCAAGACGAACGCATCGCCCAGGAAGACTCCGTGGCGATCATCCTGCTCAGCGCCAACAAGGAAGCCTTCGAGGACCTGCACAGCATGAAGACGTACCTCGTGCACGAATTCCGCCGCAACAAGAGCATGCACATCATCCACGCGGCCGTGCAGGCCGGCCGCCCCCCCCCGACGGACATCATCGCCGGCACCGTCCTGCGGCACTTCCTGTACAAGTCCAAGGGCAACGTCCAGTTCTTCATGCCCTCGTTCTCGCCCAACTTTGAGACCCTCAAGCAGCGCAGGCGCCTCATGTCGCTTTACCACAACCTGCACGCCGGCGTGCACACGAAACACGCCGGCGTGAAGGTCTACCATAGCGTCGGCGCCTCCGCGACGGCCCTCGCGTGGGTCACGCCCATGTTCGAGCTGTACTGCGTGGCGGGGCCGACCGCGTCGAGAAATGCCTTGTCTTCGAGCGCCAACAAGGTCGTGCAGTGGGTGCAGAGAGAGGAGGAGAGGATCTTTCTGATTGGCGGTGCGGTCTTTTGAGAGTTAGACTTGGTGGATATCAATATATGCATGCATGCGGAGTGGCTGGGTCTGTGTTTCATTAGAGATGTACTCCGTACTCCCCTCTGGAGTACAGTAATTCAGACGGCGGACTGTAGATAAGGTGCACTGTGTGCGAAGTGCTGATGAGCTTTGTTACATACTTCATCTCCACGCCTCCCGCGGCAGAACTTGGAAACTGGACTGCTGCGTTTGCCTGTGTCTCTCCTCGCGCGAGGCGTACCGCCTCCTTCCCTCGTCTTCGCGAGAACGTCACACCGCTGGAGAACTTGACGACATGTGGACAAGCCGAATTGCTCTACTGATAGCAAGTCTTTGATTCAGTAATTTCTAGCTAAAGAGTATCGAAATGTACTTTTCCTCCGCGTTCGCTTGTCACGCTCCAAGCCCGCCTTCAGAGACAACCAATTGCGCTTTTATCCTTTTCGGTCTGTATGTTTTTACACAATGCTTTTGCGCGCGAGACCTACCATCCAACGTGTTCCCCACCGTAGCGAGAGTTCCAGCCAGAGGCGGTGGTTTGCCGCGCCTCCTAAGCACGACCACCGGCACCTCCTCTTGGAGAGTCCCGACCCGAATTAGCATTCTTGATGGCGTCCAAAATCAGGTCACGAGCTGACTCGACGCCTTCTCTCTCGCCGACGATGGTAATGGCCTCTCCTTCCTCGCCCTTGCCAGAGTTTCGGTTGGGAACTTGGATGTCGCACCCTGACTGTCGACGGATGGAGTTGATGGTAGAACCACCCTGTCCGATGATGTGCCGGTGTAGTCGGGGATCGGGGAGAATGAGGTAGCCCGTGTGTTGGGGCTCAGAAGCTTTCTCGAGCATCGACTGGATCTTCTCTTTGGTCTTGGCAACGGCGTCGTCTGAAGCATCTTTCCCGGCGAGGATGACCCAAGGAATCTTGCCTGCATCGTTCTTCAACTCGTCTTGGTTAGAGACAATTTCCCACGAGTACGACTGCTCGTCGCCGGGTTGATCAGTAATGAGTGGCATATCGCCATTGGTCGTCCGTGCCCTTGGGCCACGGTTTGTCGCAGGTTTGGGAGGTGGCTTCTGTCCGTTGTGATCAACGCGGATGCCGTCCCGTGCCAGCTCCCGGAAGAGGGCGCCGTTACGAGAAATGGTGTGGTGCAAGGCGCGCGGGATCATGATCGTCTCGCCTGTGGGCTTCGAGGTCAATCCCTGAATGTGCTCCTTGGCCTTTGCGACATTCTCTGCGCGACCAGCAATCTTCACACCAGTCTGACCACTTCCTTGACGCGGGACATTGAGGGTCACGCCGAATTGTTCTTCCAGCTTCTTGCGTGTGCTGCCATTGGGTCCGATTAGCTCACGGTGCTGGCTAACCGGGACGTCAACGGTCTCGGTGATCTGTTTTTCTCTCTCGTCCACGAAGCTCTGGATGGCAGCCAGAATCTTTTCAACCACATCAGCAGTACCTTTGATGGTAAGGTCATCAGACTCTTCGCCTTGACGAGGGAACCGAACGTGTTCAGCACTGGTACCGGTACCACCAGCGTTCGAGACAATGCTTTGGATGTTGGCACCTTCAAAAGTCAATATTAGTGCATGATAACAAGAGGAAAGGGGACGTACCGCCAGACCCGATCAAAGCACGGTGGTGCTTTCTGTCGACCTTCAAAACACGCGTGACAACGTCATCAAACGCCTTCGATCGCTTCTGTAGTTCTTGTCGGGCCTTCTCGACTTGCTGCTTAGTACCCTTGATCTGAATCGTCACACGATCAGAGCCGTCAGCTTTTGGAATGTCAATCTGAGCACCGGTATCAGCTCGAAGCTTCTCCATTTCCTGACCGCGTCTGCCAATCAGGGAAGCGATTTGGCCTTGCGCCACCGACACATTCGCGGTGTGAGAGTTGTCCACGAGGTATTGGTGGAGACTTAGCAGTTCATCGCGGACCTTCTCGGCCTTTGCTCGCGGGCCTCTGATTCTAACCTCGTCATGAGGCTGGCCTCGGCTCGCACCAACCTCGCTGGCGTTGTCAGCGACGGAGGCGTCATCACTGATTTTTGCCGCCTTCGGGAAATCAATCCGCACGGCGTTGTCGACCTTGTTCTGGATCTTCTGCAGGTTCTCCCCGCTCCTGCCCACGAGCATGCCATGGTACTTGGGGTCAATCTTGATTGCAAAGTTGACTTCGTCCTCCCATTGCTTGCCCAGTCGTTGAATCTCGGCTTTGCATGCCTCCGCCTTCTTTTGTGGTCCTTTAATGGTGATTTTGCCATCCTCACGGGTGTCAATCTCGACATCGTGCTTTTCGCGTAGAGCCTTGATGTTTGTTCCTTGCTTTCCAATGAGGTTCTTGTTGTACTGCGCAGGGAATGCAAAGCTGGTGGTGTATCCACGTTCCTTCTCATCCTGCTCCGCTTCTTGCAAGAACTCTTCAATCTTCCGCCGCAACTCCGCAATATCTGCCTCGCTCGGACCCCTGAGGTAGACTCTTTCCGAAGGTGAGCCACGCGAGACGCCGTTCGATTGTCGGGCACCACCTCTGGCGCCGAAATCAACTTGCACCGGGAAAGACTGTGGGGGAGCTGGTTTCGGCTCGTTGTTGACGAATCGCTTAACTTTGTCCTGGAACTTCTTGGGGACATGAATGTCCTGGACAGAAATGCCTTGGTGAGGAATATTGCTGAGGAGTGCGGCTTGTGCCTCTTGGAGGGCCTTCTCGAACGTGGCAACGTCGTCCTGGCTGGGCTTGGTCCGAGGAATAGAAAAGTTTTCATCCTGCGAAGGGCCTTCGTAGACGAGTATAACAGGCTCGGAGCCATCCTCGGGCACAATCAAATGGACACCGAGATTTTCCCTCAAATTCGACGAGTGCATCCGTTCTAGATGAGGATGGAAGAAGGGGTCAACTTCCACAAGCCCGATTCTGGAAGAGGGAAAGGCTTGAGCGATCTTCCGGAGCTCATTGCCTGCGCTGGTCGCATTCTTCTGGTCGTTGGTAATGACATTCCAGCTGGAAGATGCGTTGTTCCCTTGGGGGAAGATGATCTCGGCGCCATGTGAGTTCATGAACTCTCGCTCGATGGCTTTCTGTTGCAGATACTGGGCAAGGGCCCTCGAGTGGCGTTCAGGGCCTTGAGGGGCATCATGAAAGTGCTTCTGCAGGTCAACGGCACGGTTGTACTTCTGAGACATCAATTGTTCAGCAAGGTTCCGACCAGCTTCGAGCCGATCTCTGGGGCCGATGATGTGATAGTCCTCGGTCTCATGATGAGATGGGGGTAAAACCACGGCGCACCCAGTCTGCTCCAAGAATTGAAGTGGATCCATTCCACGCTCACCAACGATGTATGGGTGCAAGATCTGCTCGCCGACCAGTTCTTCAAGCAGCAGCTCCTTCTGCAACTCTCCAGCTAGTTGCTCGATCATCAGACGCGCCTCCAATGCCGCAGCTTGATCACCGGAAACGACAATGTGGTCGTCTCCATGGGGGACGAAGACGGGTCTCTGACCAGCCTGGGCGGGTCGCGGCGGAGGTTGCTGATGCCAGGTGTGATATCGGGGCACGTTTATGCGCAGGTCGCGCTCACGTTCCATCTGTTGCAAGCGATCGGCGTGGCGTCCAGCGATGAAGGGATAGAACTCGGGTGGAATCCCGCGAACAGGGAGGTCGACCTTCGGCTGTAGCGACTTGACCTGGTTGGAGATTTGCTCATAGACTTGACGGACCTGGGCAGCATTGCCCCGGATCTCCACCACATCGGTCTTGACGTCGTCTGGGTTAGCAACCGGCTTTGTGTCGCGATCAATCCGGATGCGGACATTGAACTGGGTCTCGAGTTTCTTGATGTTTGCGCCACCTCGTCCGATGACCTGAGCTGAAACGGTAGACGGGATCTCCAACCTGACTTGTTTCTCCAGGGTGAGTTCCTTTGAAACATACATCAAAGCTTCCGTGACTCGGTTCTTGGGACCTTCAGCGATGAATTCGGTCCCTCTGCCGAAGTTAGCCGATTTTGTAGCGACGGTGACGTTGAACTTCTTCTTGACGTCGGCAAAGACTCGTGGGAGGGACTTGGTCTTGTCAAGATCAGCGTTGTCGATCTCGAATGAATCTCGAGCTCTTCCGGGCAGCAGGACGCCGGCACGAGCCGCAGGGTTGGGGACGGGGGTCCGAGCGCCAGGGGTCGAGGTCGGGGTGGGAGCACCGGAGGAGGTTGGACGAGATCCCAAGGCAGGGGAGCCATTGGCACCCGCACCCTTTGCCGAGAGATTGGCATACGAGATGGGGCGCGCAGAGGTAGCCGCAGCGGATTTCGTGGCAGCTCCCAGAGCTGGGAAAGCCTCCTCGGACTGTGTGTCGAGGACAGGGGGTTTGTCGGACGCCTTCTGCTTGCCTGCCGCCTTCTCGGACAGTGGAACACTGCCACTGCCCTCAGTTTTGGAAGCATCCGTCTCTTCGACATGGTGGTGGGGCGGAGGAGGGTGTTGGATGTCGTCTTCATCAGGGACATCTTCAACCGTCACGCTGCGGCGGTGTGCTTCGGCAGCCTCGTGCTGTTCTTGCATCAGCTGGGCGGGAGTCTTGGTGGTGCTGGAGCCGCCATCGGTAACAGCGTCGACAGAAGCTGTCGCCATGGCTGATGTTGTTGGCTTCGGGGAAGCCTCGAGTGGACCGTTTGGAGAGGAACCGAAAGCGCAGGGCAGGAGACCGAGACCGTCTGAGAGGCTAGAGTACGAGGCTCATAAAACAATCCGTACAATTATAGTTCTGAGGGGAAAGTGAACGGTACAGCTGTCAATCCGAGAGGAGCCTACACAGTACGCAAGAATAACAGGTGGTGACAAGTAGGTGACAGGGGCACGCAGTCGAGGGCGGGAGAAAGTCGTCGCAACTCGAGATTCTTCTGGACTCGACTTTCCGACTTTCCACTTGTGGGGTACCGCGACGAAGCCGGCGTCGGAAAAGGTGTTGTTCCGAGCCTGGACACGTGACAGGCAGACAAGCGAGTCGAGGAGTCAAGCGAGTGGCAGCCTGACGTGCCACGGGGCCTGACACCCTGCACGTTGCGCGGTGAGCCAATGGGCTACACATAATCAAAATGTCAAAGTCTTCTTATTTATACCTTCACGCTCTCTTTTCGGTTCTTGATAAACCCAACCTTGACTCCCTCTGCTGGCGTCAAAATAATCTCTGCGTGGAGGATGCGTTTGCTTCCGTAGTCCACGATCTGATCAAACTCCTGCAAGATCCTGACAATCGTATATCCCATCTCCACCATAGCAAATCGCTGTCCAATGCAGATTCTGGGTCCGCCGTTGAAGGGTATGAAGTTCCACGCCTTCGGGGTCCAAGTCTCCCACCGCTCTGGCCACCATTCCAGTGGGTCATATGGGAACGACGGTGAGACCGGCGGGTACAGGTCTCTCCTCCGCTGCATCATCAGAGTGCTGTAACCTATGACGGTGCCCTTCGGACAGCCAACTGGAGAATTTCCGTCTTTGCCCCCACCCCGAGGCAAGGAAGTATCGGTCAGTGCCGATCGGACGTTGAAGGGCACAACTGGGTACAGGCGCAGCGTCTCGTTGATCGTATGCGTCAGATACTTCATGTCTTTGATCTCCTGGTAAGTCGGCGGTCGGCCGTCATCTCCCAGGAACTCTTTGAGCTCTATCCGGAGCTTCTCGACCGCTCGGGGATTTTTGGCCAGCTCCAGAAAGAGCCAGGACAGCGTCCCTGCAGTCGTATCTCGTCCCGCCAGCAACAGAGCTGTGAGCTGATCGCGCATGACCTTGGGATCTCTCGTGTACCGGGCCAGGGCGTGGATGAAAGTGTCGGACCGCGAAAGCTTCGAGTCCAACTCTTGCGGCGACATGGACAGGGCCTCGGTAATGAATGGTTGAATGAAGCGCTCCATTGTCTTCAAGCCGGCATAAAACGATTTCTTGCTGTAGAAGCGTTTGAGAGGCCTGAGATAATGTCAGGTTGGTGCTCAGCTCGATATTGCAATCCGGACTCACCCAAGTCGGCCTTCGAGTGACTGCACTCTCTGGACCTCGTCGAACGCAGCAGCGAACTCCGACTGTTCCACTTCCAAGCTGCCAACACTGTGCCCGAAGAGGAAGTGAGTCGAAGCGTCCAAGCTGAATCTGAAAAACAGTTTGTTCAACATGACCGCACCCCCGTCACCCGATCCCATCAGCGAGATCAACTTGCGCACGTGGGTCTCAATCAAGGGCAGGTCGGCGACTTTCTCCCGTACAAACATGGGTCGGATCAGTTGGCGAGAATTGTGCCACTGCTGGCCATCGGTCGTGAAGATGCTGTCACCCAGGAAGTCAGTCCATTCTCGATGGAACTCTTCGCCCTTGCCGAAGTCTTGGAATTGAGTGGTCAACAGGGCTTTGGTGTTCTCTGGATCCGCGGTGAACAAGACACGAATATCTTCGAGGATGTGGAGCTCGGCGGTATAAGCAGCCGTTCCCTTGGCGTCCGTGCCGGTGTGCGCAAAGATCCATTCCCAGAATTCCAGGGCCTCATTTCTGACGATCGCCAGTGTCGAGTGCACCGGAAAGTCAAGGCCTGTGCTTGGACATCAGTACTCGGCGACAATCAAACAGAAACGAGCCTACCAAAGAAGAATCGTGTCGTGACTCGTGGAGACTCTCCTCCCAGAGCCTGGACCTTTCGCCATTTCATGTATCGTCGGATGTAGACAGAGGCGACGTAGGCTGCCAACGCCGCAAGCCCAAACCATTGCCACAATCGAAGTTGAAGGAACATATTTATCGCATGGAACCGCAGGTAGACTAAGAACTATATCGATATGCGTAACTGTAGCAGAGGTCAGCCCTGAAAGTGATCGAAGATATAGCTCTGGACGGGTTCGTCTGACGCGCGGCTGTCTGAGACCGACACAGCACAGGGATTAGATCATGGGGAATGTGGTACTGGGCACTCCGTACACCGCTGGACATGCGAAAATCGCAGAGAGTTCACTGTGGTGGTATTAGAAGGCAGCGCCAACCCATTGCCTCGAGTTCCCCGCAAAGCTCAGATATGCCCAAGTGAGGTTAAAAGGATGGACTGATCGCTCGCTTCCTCGGTTGCGATGCGGACCATCCCTCCAAGAATACGAAATACGGTCGTATCTGCGGCGCTCCGCTCCAACGGCGGTGCCTAGCATGCATGTGGTGGGGGCGGCTTTCTCGCAAGGGCGGCCCATTTCCGGTTCTCTGCTAGGGCCCTGTGCTTCCACCTATGCCAAGCCCCTCTCCAACGTTTCATCTCAGCCATCAAGGAAATATCAGCTACAAGTTGCAACCCCCTTCCATCAAGCACCAGGTCATGGTCACCGGCGTCGACCGGATCCCGAGGTCGACTACCGCTCTTTCTCTCCACTCGCCCAACCTGCTCGTCGCCGCTTCAAGCATCGATTCGTCTCTCACCCCCGACCACAACACTTCCGCGGCGGCTGCGACTCTGGGCCACAGCTTCGGATCTAGGTCTTGAGAGTCGGTCTGTTCGCTCCACATCAGAACTTCACCTCCTTCAACGCCCTCCTGAAGACCTCTGGCGATACCCGCCAAAGGGTCGTAGGTGTACATATGACGCCAGTTATGAAATGGAGCGCAGTAATCGAGAAAAGGTTTCTTCAACCGACTGGAGAAGCCCCCTGAGGTGTTGTACGGGACGCCAGGGGGTGACTTGCCGGTCGCGTATGGGTCAAGAAAGACGCCGTATCCACCTATCAGAGTAAGCAACGTTTTACGGCAAGGGCTCCATGCCTACAGTCTAAATACCAATGATGATAATCGCCGAATATTGCGCGGTGGCCCCGTTGGAGGACTTCTTCGATGCGCTCACTGTTGCGCCACACCTGCACCAGTGTCTGGGCTGTCGGGTTTTCGTGTCCGGCAGACGGTAGCGTCAAGTTCCAATCGAGGAGCATCTCCTCCCACACAACCGGCCGAAGGCCAAATTGAATGCTGGTACCCACGACGTGATCAATGAAACGCTGCAAAAGAGGTTGCAGCACTTCCGGATTATCGCTTCTCACAGTCTCGTCCAGTGTGTACGCCGCGAGATTAACTTCATCGCCACCAACATGGTATAGGGAGGTGTATTGTCCTGTTCGGGGCAGAATGTCATGGAGCAGGGTGGAGATGAACGTGTCAACATCGGTGAGGTTGAGCTTGAGCTGCCCGCTCAATGGCTCAGCAGCGAATGTTGACCAATCTAGCTCATTGAACGCCGCAATCAAGTCCGGATAAGCGTGCGCAATCGAGGCCGTGTGGCCCGGCACGTCAATCTCGAGGTACACCGAAACCCCTTTCGAAGCACCGTACATTTGGACTTCGCGAAGGCTTCTGGCGGTCCAAACCAGGCTTGGGTGATATGCACCTTTCTGCGCGAGCTCTGGAAGAGAGGAGATTTCGATCGGCCAGCTTTGAGAATCCGTTGCGTGGACGTGCAACCTGCTCATTTTAGCCATTGCCATCCCGTCAATCGTGCGCAACAGATCTTGTGGTTCAAAGGGGTTCCTAGCAATATCAATACTCAGACCTCGATGGCGCCATTTCGGTCGATCAGCGATTTTCACGGGCACAAAGGGAGTGTAGATACCCGACAAGGCCGAATGCGCGAAGAAAAGCTGCTGGAACGTTTGAAGGCCCCTGACGGTACCGATGCTACTGTTGGACGTGATGAAAGCTGTACCGTTGTTGAGGAGGATCTCGTACGATTCGTCCCCGTCGAAGAAGCTAGAGGGCCGAAACCTCTCTGGTGGTGGGCAATTGCGCTGTTGAATTTGCAGTCGCGAGATATACTGGCGAGGGGCGCTTTGATCAGGCTCAAAAGTTGTGTTTCGTTTGTGTAACTTCCAGGGCACAAACCTGGAGCCGTGGATGGCACTAAGGGTGTCACGAACTGCGTCCTCGACAATGGAGCTCTCAGAGAAATCAACCTCACCATTCCTGCTCTTGTCTGTGAAGGTAGATTGCACCGTGTCCATGAACCCTTGGGCATGGAGAGACATCCAATCGAGAATCTGTGCCAAGTGGTTCTTGTAGATAAGATAGTTCTGGTCATGAAATTGATCCTCTCCATTGTCGCACCGGAGGGTGGCTTGCAACGCGGTGTCTAGCCATAAGACGTGGTTGCCAGTCTCTATCTCGGCCGGTTGAGGCCATACTGCCAGAGCTGATGGGGCGGAGATCGATATGACGCCGAGTAGCATTCGCAAAAGCATCTTGGCGTAGAGCGCTACCGCCACACACGAAACATCCCAGAGATACAAGACTGAGATTGGAGTCAAGCCGAAGTGAAGTGCGAGTCAATTTGTGTGGATGCCGAGTTGACTAAGCAGAGGCCCCAGTATCAATCACGTGACCTAGCAGATTGCAAATTGGCAATGGCTTGCCTTGCCTCTCGCAACTTCTACAAACACCCGCCAACACCTGATATCAAATCCCACGCCGACATCAAACGACAGATTTTGCGTGTTGTTCACTATCAGACGAGCAAGGTACCTCTTCGGAGCGCCAAATTGTCCCCATCCGTCGCTCGACCAGGGACGACAAAAGCAGCTACCGCCATTGTTCCGCACATAACAAAGGCGCGACATCTCCAGCTTGCCTCTCCTAGCGAGGCGAATCCCGCCGTTCTTCCTGCACCTATCATCCTTCACCCCTGCGACTCTTTCGACAGAATGTCGACCATTGCCCTTGAGACGCCGTTGGCGGAGGCGCTGAGCAGTGCCGTACACTCCAAGATCATCGAGGAAGGCTGGACACAGGATGACGACACGTCATTAGCAGAGTACATCGTCCTTATGTTGGCCAATGGAAAGACCCAGGATCAGATCGCATCAGAGCTCGCGGGCGAGTTATTACAGGATGCGAAAGGCACCACCGAGTTTGCGCAGTGGCTGTTCGAACAAGTCAACACGTTATCCGGTGGCTCGGCCGCCGCGCCAACAGGCACGTCACAATCGACCGAACAGCCCGCACAATTCGGCGCGCAAGGGGCAGCATCTTCAGACCCTGCCGACAATGCAACCTCGGCAATACCTGCCGCGTATGATATGGACATGGTTGATAACGCGCCCGAGAACGCGTAAGTCCTCCCCTACATGCTGTGAATGTCGCACATATACTGACTTGTTCTTGTAGACCTCGAGGACCCAAAGGCTTACACGGCGGCCGTGCTGCCGGACGAGGCGGTCGAGGAGGCGCGACCAACAAATCCGCCGATTCAGCCCTCCACCGAGTTCGAGGGAACGACCGCATAAACACGCACGGCAACGTACGCGGAGCGCCCAAAGGACCGCGTGGTGGTCAGAACCGCGAAATGCGACCCGGCATGCAGAAGGCGTTGAATGGGATGAACATGACTGGGCCTCCAGGCATGCAGAATGCCATGATGATGAACGGCGCACAGCAAGGTCCGGGAATGATGCAGATGACACCTCAACAGCAGATGGAATTTATGGCCATGATGGAACAACAGACGCGTATGCTGGCTCAGTTCACTGGCATGATGCCCGGAGCGGGCGGCAACGGGTTTCCACAAGGCCAACAGCAGAACGGCCAGGGTCGGTCCCTGTTTGATAGAATCGAACCCGGTCGTGGTCGAGGGGGTGGCAGGGGGCGAGGCAGGGGAGGCATTGCAGGACAAAATGGCCATCTCAAGTCCCCCACGAAGACGAACGACGGAGATACCACCATGGAAGGTGACGGTCAGTCGACATCCGGCGACATGGCGACGACGACAGAAGGTCAGGAAGCGGGCGGCGACGCCGAGCGCAAACCACAGGATCCCTCGACCACCATGTGCCATTTCAACCTGCGCTGCACCAACCCCGACTGCGCGTATGTCCACCAATCGCCCGCAGCACCGGAAGGCACCATCGTCGACATGTCCGACACGTGCACCTTCGGCCCCGCCTGCAAGAACTCCAAGTGCGTGGCCAAGCATCCCTCGCCCGCCAAAGTCAAGGCCTACCAAGCCCAGGAACTCTGCAAATTCTTCCCCAACTGCACGAAGCCGAACTGCCCATTCAAACACCCGAGCATGCCGCTCTGCAGATTCGGCTCCGCCTGCAAGACACCCAACTGTGCCTTTACCCACCTGCAGACGGCGTGCAAGTTCAACCCCTGTACGAATCTGAAGTGTCCGTACAAGCACGAGCCGGGCCAGCAGAAGACGACCAACTTTGCCGACTACACGTGGACGCCGGAGAAGCAGGCCGAACAAGATGCGGCAAACCAGCACGTCAGTGACCGCAAGTTTGTGGATGATCAAGCAGGCGAGGAGGAGCTGGTCAAGCCCGACGAGAGCGGCGAGACACGGATGCGGGAGGAAGTGATCACCTAATCGAGTGGCTGTCACACAAACCCAGGATATTGACACAGATAGAAGGAAGGTTGAAAGGAGTCGCCGATGCCAATGTCCTGTCATCGGCTCCACCATGTACCTGTACAGTATTATGAAAGCATACAACTGGCGTTTGTTGCGGGAAGGTTTCCGTTGACCTTCCATGTGGAGGCCGGTAAATTCAAGTTCCATTCCTGTGGCTTCTACTCGCAAGCAGATGTGCATGTCTTTCTCTCTGTCTCATTTCCCGTCTTTTCGTCATCTCCGCATGAGGCTCTAAGTTGTTGAGCCGTAGTCTTGACACGCGTGCTACTTCACGTCTTACTGTAGTATCGACCAAGGCTCCTGAGGACGGTCTCTTCACAGGTTCTCCCGTGTACTCGGCTGTCTCGACTGGCTGATATAGAGTCTATCTACGGAGTATGTGTTGCCAGCATTGCAGTCAAATACAGTCCAGGGCGGGTTCCCGGCGCGGTTCCAGCTGCGCCTAGGTACCTACTGTACCTAGGTGATCATCACGATACATTTCCGACAACCTCATTTCAACACCCATTTCCGGTCCGGGTTTTCCATTATCTCGGCATGATGGTCTAAGTTGTTGTTGTTGTGTAGTCTCGCATCGTGGTCTTGACATGTATGCGGTGCTTGCTAATTAATTACATACTGTGCACGTCGAGGCACGACTTCGCAGGACGCATTCCTACCTAGGTTAATCGTCATGATGATACTTCTCGCTGTACATTTCCCACCGCTGATGCCACCTCATCCAACACTTCCTCAATCAGGGCCCCATCCCTCTCCACATCGACCTGCCAATTACTCATCGCAATCCGCGCGGCAGCTCGGCCCTCCCACACCGTGCCCGTGAGATATATCTTCCCGGTCATGTTGACGCGCTTGACGAACGTGCGTGTTGCCTCGTCATTGTCGCCCCTTACACGGAACAAGACGACAATGAACGTCCTCGCCACGGTCTCGGCTTCCGATTCACCTGCCCCTGTGGCCGAGGGGAGCACCTCGAACCTCTTCTTCTCATCCCTCAAGAGCCAGCGAGTGACCCGTCGCGCGAGGCCGATCTGCCGCTTTAGCATGGCCTCGTATCCTTGGCGGCCGTACGCCGCGAGGGTGGCGTAGACGGGCAGGGCGCGGAAGCGGCGCGAGTTCTCGATCCCGATGTTCAAGGGGCTTTGGATGGCGTCGTCATTGTCGCCACCACGGGGGGCGGCCCCGCCGGTCAGGTACGCGGCGTTGCCGTTCTGGAAGACGTGTTCCAACAAGGACTTATGCCTGGTGAAAAACACGCCGCAGTCGTAGGGCACGTTGAGCAGCTTGTGGCAGTCGCCTGTGATGGAGTCGGCGAGCTCGAGACCCTGCACGCCGCGGGTGATGCTGGTGTATTCAGAAGCCTCTGCGGGGGTCTCTGTGCCAGCGTGACTGTCAGTGTCAGCTTCAGGCAAGAGCAGCCGGCCAAACAGCCCAAACGCGCCGTCCACGTGTACCCAGATACCGTGCGCGTCGCAGATGCGGCGGATCTGCCTCCATTGAGAGGCCGAACTGGTGGCGAAGCGGCCCGTGTTGACCTCGCCGGCGGAGATGGCCAGAATGTTTAGGGCATTGGGCTTTGTGGCTTCTTGCTCCAGTCTCGCCACGTCGATCTCTAGAGGGTCGCCCTCTGCGGAGATGGAGATGACGTTCCGCCGCCCGATGCCGACTATGCTCGCTGCTTTGGCTATGCTGGAGTGAGGCAGCGTGCTGAGGACTTGGATTTTGGCCACGCCGGCCCTCTGCATGAGATCGAATACGCCTTGTTCTCCGGTCGACGTGTCGCGATAGCTAGCGGCTGATTGAGCGTCGGCATCGTGCCCAGCAAGACTCCTGAGCTTGTGCCGAAGGACGTGCTCCCGCCCAAGAGCGAGTCCGAGGACGTTACTCGCTGTTGCGCCCGTGGTGAACGTGCCACCTCCAGCGGTGTCGGGTCCGCCGACCGCCCAGGTTGACTCCGGCAGCCGGAAGAGCTGGACGAGCATGTTCAGAGCCACGACTTCTAGGCTCGTGGCTAGAGTCTCCTGGGGCAGGTGGACCTGGACATTCTGGTCGTAGATCGAGGCCAGGAAGTCGCCTAGTAGCGCGGCGGGTGTGGCCCCGCCCGTCACGAAGCCGTAATAGTTCGGAGAGAGGGAGGAGAGGTTGAGGTGAGGCAGGACCGCCGTGGTGAGGTGCGCGCCCAGCCGTGAAAGGAGGGCGTCTTGACGTTCATGTTGTTGGTCGAATAACTCATTGCTCGCAGCTGAGGACGCGAGTGGCTGTGCGATGTTGGAGGACGGTGGTTTCGGCACATCTCGTGGCAAGACTGGGAAATTCTCTCCGCGTCGACTTGAAAACTGGTGAGAGATGGCGAGGTCTGGCGAGGATATGATCTGTTGCAATGTCTGTATCACGTCGTCAAGGCCTGTTTGCCGGTCCATTGCGCGTGCTGTATTGTGACTGGAAGCACGTAGAGTATTCAAGACGGTGTTTGGATGCTTCTTCGGCTTTGGGGGAGAGATCTATCACATGTCTCGTCGCGCACTGGAAGAAGATGATCCCATCAGTCTTTGCTCTTACCTTCGCGTTGATCGAATCTCTTCGAGAGCCGCCTGGAACGGTGCATGACCGTATTCCGTATGTATATCTCGTTTGCACTTCACAGCTGTACATGTAACGGTGACTCACAAATGCCTTAGAATACTGTTATGGAAGGTAGACGCGACAAGGGCACTACATATGTACTGCATTAGGTCGTGCAAATCTCATCTCACTATCAGCTTCCCCTCTAGACCTTTCAGAGAACGTTGCATGAAAGAGTACGTCGAAAGTAGAGGACGGGAAGAAGTGCGTGCTCTGAGGGTCAGTGGAGATGTAAGCTCAGAGTGGACGCAAACGAACACAGTGAGGCAGGTTACATCAAGTTCAATAAGAGAGCGGGTTCAAACTTGTAGTTTGGCAGTCAAAAGCGAGCAGGTCTTCGCCGGGAGCCTTATGGTTTTCACATCGCTGTGCTGTATTCTTGTCGGTTCCTTACCCTGCTGTGCCGAGTAGCTTTCCTCCACGTTCTGGAAAGGCCACGAGTTGATTTCCAGACGACTCAGGAAAAGAGTTCGCCGAACATAGTAGATTGTGACAATATTGTTCTTCGGGCTTCTGCCAGCAATTGATAAAAGATAATTCAACTTTATTGCTTGACGAAATAGGAATGCCGTTGTGGATGTGGTAAACCTCAAAACCCACTCGCCAGCCAGTCCGTCGATTTTCCAGGACTTCAGCTATACTCATAGTGACCTTCTTCTTTGAGAGGCTGAGAGGGGGCCCTGTACTTGATTGTGCGACCGATTCGGCGCAGCTACTTCAAAGGCTTGCAGTACTATAGGTTCAGGAAGGTTTGCAAAGGGTAGGAAAGTGGTATTAAAATTATGTCCTTGCTTGCCAAGTCGGATACTGGCAGCATGTAGCCCTCTCAAATGCAATAGGCCTGAGGTACAGATGGCGTTGAAGAAAGCAGAGCTTTTGCACCGATTTCGACAAACTGGTCAACGCTAAGCATCTGATGTGAGCCCACATTTCCGTGAGCTATTCCATCCTTGCCCGTCAATGCACTGCTATGCAACCTTGCCCAACGACAAGTGCAAAATGCAAAATAATGTCCAGCGCGATGTTGATGTTCGAGAGAGGGGATGAGAGTTGGTCTTTCCGAGGTCGACAAAGGCTAGGAGGGGAAGATCATAGGAGACGACTCAGCGCTCAAAGCAGCACAACGAGGCCGGCAATACCAGCCACAGCTGCAAGGCTTCCAGCAAATTCCGGTCGGTGGGCAGCGCCAGTATACGCTGCTGGGGCGACGGAGCTGGTAGAGGCAGGGGCCACACCTGTTGGTGCCTGGGGCTGACCATCCGACATCACCGTCACGGGGGTTGCCGTCGGAATTTGTGGTTGGCCATCGCTCAACTGGGTCGCTGGGGCGCCAGTGGGTGCCTGCGGTTGGCCATCCGAGAGCACCGTCACAGGGGTCGCTGGGGCACCGGTGGGAGCCTGAGGCTGGCCGTCTGAGAGCACCGTCACAGCACCAGTAGGTGCCTGAGGCTGGCCGTCTGAAAGCACCGTCACGGCACCTGTGGGTGCCTGGGGCTGGCCATCCGAGAGCACCGTCACAGGGGTCGCTGGGGCACCGGTGGGAGCCTGAGGCTGGCCGTCTGAGAGCACCGTCACAGCACCAGT